TAGACAAATGAATACACACAAGGTCATTGACATCAGATCAAAGACAACACACAAGGTCATTTACACCATACGAATGACAACATACAAGGTCATTGACGCCAGACAAATGACTACACACAAGGTCATTGAACCCAGACAAATGAATACACACAAGGTCATTGACATCAGATCAAAGACAACACACAAGGTCATTTACACCATACGAATGACAACATACAAGGTCATTGACGCCAGACAAATGACTACACACAAGGTCATTGACACCATGCAAATGACATCATACTAGGTCATTGACACCATACGAATGACAACATACAAGGACATTGACACCATACGAATGACAACACGAATCCATTATCACCAGACAAATAAATACACACAAGGTTATTGACACCATACTAATGACAACACACAAGGTCATTGACACCATACGAATGACAACACGAATGCATTATCACCAGACAAATAAATACACACAAGGTTATTGACACCATACTAATGACTACACACAAGGTTTTTGACATCAGACATATGACAACACACAAGGTCATTGACACCAGACCAAAGACAACACACAAGGTCATTGACACCAGACAAATGACTACACACAAGGTTTTTGACATCAGACATATGACAATACACAAGGTCATTGAACCCAGACAAATGACTACACACAAGGTCACTGACACCATACCAATGACAATAGACAAGGTCATTGACACCATACGAATGACAACATACAAGGTCATTGACACCAGACAAATGACTACACACAAGGTCATTGACACCATGCTAATGACAACATACAAGGTCATAGACACCATACTAATGACAACATACAAGGTCATTGACACCAGACAAATGACTACACACAAGGTTTTTGACATCAGACATATGACAATACACAAGGTCATTGAACCCAGACAAATGACTACACACGAGGTCACTGACACCATACCAATGACAATAGACAAGGTCATTGACACCATACTAATGATAACATACAAGGTCATTTGACACCAGACAAATGACTACACACCAGGACATTTACACCATACTAATGACAACACACAAGGTCATTGACACCAGACAAATGAATACACACAAGGTCAATGACACCAGACACATGACTACACACAAGGTCATTGACACCATGCAAATGACAACATACAAGGTCATTGACACCATACTAATGACAACGTACAAGGTCATTGACACCAGACAAATGAATACACACAAGGTCAATGACACCAGACACATGACTACACACAAGGTCATTGACACCATGCAAATGACAACATACAAGGTCATTGACACCATACTAATGACAACCTACAAGGTCATTGACACCAGACAAATGAATACACACAAGGTCAATGACACCAGACACATGACTACACACAAGGTCATTGACACCATGCAAATGACAACATACAAGGTCATTGACACCATACGAATGACAACACGAATGCATTAACACCAGACAAATAAATACACACAAGGTCATTGACACCATACTAATGACTACACACAAGGTTTTTGACACCAGACATATGACAATACACAAGGTCATTGAACCCAGACAAATGACTACACACAAGGTCATTGATACCAGACAAATGAATACACACAAGGTCATTGACACCATACTAATGACTACACACAAGGTTTTTGACACCAGACATATGACAACACACAAGGTCATTGAACCCAGACAAATGACAACACATAAGGTCATTGACACCATGCAAATGACAACATACAAGGTCATTGACCCCATACTAATGACAACATACAAGGTCATTGACACCAGACAAATGACAACACATAAGGTCATTGACACCATACTAATGACAACATACAAGGTCATTGAAACCAGACAAATGACAACACATAAGGTCATTGACACCATACTAGTGACAACATACAAGGTCATTGACACCATTCTAATGACAACGTACAAGGTCATTGACACCAGACAAATGAATACACACAAGGTCAATGACACCAGACACATGACTACACACAAGGTTATTGACACCATACTAATGACAACACACAAGGTCATTGACACCAGACAAATGACTACACACAAGGTTTTTGACATCAGACATATGACAATACACAAGGTCATTGAACCCAGACAAATGACTACACACAAGGTCACTGACACCAGACAAATGAATACACACAAGGTTTTTGACATCAGACATATGACAATGCACAAGGTCATTGAACCCAGACAAATGACTACACACGAGGTCACTGACACCATACCAATGACAATAGACAAGGTCATTGACACCATACTAATGATAACATACAAGGTCATTTGACACCAGACAAATGACTACACACCAGGACATTTACACCATACTAATGACAACACACAAGGTCATTGACACCATACTAATGACAACATACAAGGTCATTGACACCAGACAAATGACTACACACAAGGTCATTGACACCATACCAATGACATCACACAAGGTCATTGACACCAGACAAATGATAACATACAGGTTCATTGACACCAGACAAATGACTACACACAAGGCCACTGACACCAGAACAATCACACAACAGGTCAATTGACACCAGACAAACATGACATGCAAGCCTATTGACACAATGTCAACGTTAACTGTCAATGTAAAGGCAATGACAAAGCAAGGACACATCCAATATCCAATACTGACAATGTCAAATTAAACCAACAATGTCAAAGTAAACTGACAAAGTAAATTGTCAATGTGAATGTAAACTGTCAATGTGAAAGAAAACTGGCAACGGAAAGTAGACTGACAATGTCAAAGTAAACTGACAATGTGAAAGAAACTGTCAATGTTTAAGTAAATTGACAATGTCAAAGTAAATTGTCAATGTGAAAATGCATTGTCAATGTGAAAGAAAATTGTCAATTTTAAAGTAGACTGACAATGTGAAAGTTCACTGATCAATGTCAAAGTAAACTGACAATGTGAATGTAAAAAGTTAAATCAATAGTAAACTGAAAACGTCGAAGTAAACTGACAATGTCAAAGTAAACTGTCAACGTCGAAGTAAATGGACAATGTCAAAGTGAACTGATATTGTCATAGTGATCTGTCAATGTCATAGTGAACTGACAATGTCAAAGTAAACTGACAATGTCAAAGCAAACTGTGAATGCCAAAGTAAACTGACAGTGACGAATGAACTGACGATGAATGATCAACTTTTCTGACATTGTTCAATTAGACTGAGATGTCAAAGTAGATAAACATACAAAAAGAAGACTAATATTTTTCCAAAGAATATTTACATTTTAAAGAAGACTCAATTATTGCCGACGAAACCCAACATACTTTTCGTGTATACTGTAACCCAATCAGTGTGATATCCAATAGCGGACGTTGCTGATTACTGACCAGAACCAGAACCTCCCTTAATTTCACATTAGACAAAACTCTATCAGATTATGGTTGTGATAATTACGTTGACCAGGTATCTGAGTCGATAATAATAATCTGAAGACCTGAGTACGATTCCTGGTCGATAGCTCCGCTAGGTTTTTTTCAGATATTAGTTTATGAAAGTTATAAAACCGTGCCTGGCAAAACCATCTACACTTTCCAATCTGTAGTTACATTTGTTGGCAGTGGTGCGGAGATCTTTAAATAAAAATATAACCGACTCAATATCAACGTAGAAATCTCTGCCCAGAGTTGTCGTTCCTTACACTTACTTAGTGTAAGAGTAGAAGGATTTGTTACAGCTATATTTGGACCTATAAATTGAGGTGTAATAGAAGGAGTAATTTTAGACGTTTTAGGAGTTAATATCAGTTTTCGGTAAAAATGATACCCTCCGGTGATGATGTGAATACCAGTGTAGTTTTGTGGCAGATTATAATTGTACAAAGGATTACGGTCGCCTTCTTGCTTCGAGCTAGAGGGAATTTCCCTTTAGCTCATTGGTAGAGCGTCCGACTAGGCACCTGGAGATCGAGGGTTCGATCCCCGGTGGAAGCACACTATTCTCTTTCCTGTTTCAAATCCGTCCGTGGCCCTCCCTGTGGTGACATACTTTTATCTTTCCTGTTACAGTTGTAACAAATTTTCCGGTCCGTGTGTGTCAGAGTTGACATGACTTTACCGACAGCGAAACAGATATTTAACAGAAGTTACGTATCAACAATACAATTTATATAGATAAGACAAAATAGTTTTCGGCACTGTCGACGTTATTACTTCTTTGCCCTAGCTGCCATCCAGTGCCAATATTGGATCATATTGTCGTTATTACTTATGAGACCTAAATGTATATGATTCCGAGTGGAGAACAATGCCCCTACGCTCCTACCTAACATCACGGGGTTTCTTTGTAAACACAGTCACAGATAAAGTACAACCACACATCCAGGACGATAGCTCGGACGGGCGTACGTGCATCGGAGACGTATAAATAAATATACGTCTCTGCATGCATTGATCGATTGTGTTTGTTTCTTCAGAGCCGGCCGGGTATATCAAGCTAGGAATATATACTAGCTCATGTCATGTACACCTGTCAGGGTCGCTGTGTCAATTTGAGTTTGACCCAGTATCTCTGTAAACCGCCTTTAGCCTACATAGTATGTTTGTCTCGGTCGCAAACGGTTTCACATGTTTTTGTATAAGTCATTGAAAGCATTGACCTTTAAACCTTCTCAGTTAAAAGCTGAGCGGCACATGTCACGAGATGTAGTAGTAATTGGTCTTGTGTGATTGCTCTTAATACGACTTGCTTACTTTCTTTGATGCATTCAGCTGATAAGTGTTAACGGACTTGCACAGGTAAGTTATAAGTACCCAGACGGTATTCTGTCATTTTAAACATGAATATTTTTTATGTCCATATCATATGTAAACGTTGAAAATTCTGTCCAATAGTTTGAATGCTACGCAAGACATTTTTGTACTTTCGTTTTGAAAATGTTTCCATGTTTAAATCAACTTTTTAACGCATGTTATCAGGTGCATATAAGCTTGACAACGGTGAAGCAAGTGAGAGGATGTATATATATGTAGGTGTATTACACATGTGTGTGTATTGTGTGAGTTCAGACCAGCGGAAGGAGTGAAGTGTAGGTGGTGATTGTGTTACGTGCGTCCACATATATACGGAAGTAATAGGGGTCACTCACAGAACAAGTGATAACGCAAGGGAATGTATAGAGGCGTAAGTATACGACCTTACTGGCTTCATGTGTGCTCTGTCTGATGAACCACAGGGGCTCGCTACAAATGTCTAAAATACACACATGTTTATGTGTGCTGTGCCTGTGACCCATAGCAGTATAGCATATGTGTATTTCAGACATTGGTAACGAACCCTTGTAGATGACCCCCCATCATTCGATCGAACTGACTGAGATAAAAAATAACGAAATATGTGTATATAACAATATATACAGTAAAACCTCGTTATAACGCCCCTCGTTTCAATTGCTACCTTGCTCACCGTTAACATATTTCAAGATTTTTGTTTCTGTAGAATGTGTATGCTTCCCTCAATTTATTGTCCGATCACTTTATAACGTCGTTCTCTTCGTACAAAGAATGGCCGTATAACGAGGTTTTACTATGTTCCCTCGTGCAAAGAATGGTCGTATAACGAGGTTTTACTATGTTCTCTTCGTACAAAGAATGGCCGTATAACGAGGTTTGACTATGTCTTATCGTAATGTATGTCTTGAAAAGATATTTTATTGTACATATGCATAGCTCTGTACTGCTGTGTTCAAAGTTTAAGCCGTATTAACGATTGAATTAAATTTCTAAAAACCGTAAGCCAATACACGTTCCACAATGTTCAAAATTCTATAACAAATACTCGACGGTTTTTTTAAAGTTTGATATTCATATGTACTTAATTATGGATGAAAGTGATGAGTGCAACCTATTCCAACCTTGACAACTGTATCGTTGGTTGAGGAAGTTTGATTTTATCATCATATCTGTAATTGATAAAAATACTGTAATTTTACTAATTTGAACACAATATTGTTATAATATTTATAACAATACATATTTCATTACAAATGTATGTATTTATTTTGTACCATAATTATGGTGTAGTGGCAAAAAACACTTTTGAATATCCATTTCTTTGTCTTTATATTATTCAGCTTTTGGATACTAGTAACAGAATATATCTTACTGATAAGCATCATTGATCAAATTAATGTTTTTGATTTTATTTAAAATATGTAAATATGATGTCAACCACTATGTATCTGCTGTCAATATAGAACCACTGCATATTGTTTATAAGGGAGAGGACGTTTTTTTAAAGTTGTATAACTTGTGTCCAATTCCTTTTTGATTATATCAAATAAAATATGTTTAAACTAAAACACGTTCCACTAGCCCGCACGTACGTATACTTATAGTGCACATACAGTATACTCACACACAGTGATACAGTGATTGTGTTTCCGTTTTTAAGGCCTTATGCCAAAAAGGGACAAAGGAACACGGATACCCAAATCTGTAATTGCATGTTGAAATATCTACCATTGTCATACATATACACTTGATGAGGGGGCTTATTAATTATATTTCTGTAACGGAATACTTCATTTTATCAGTATGGCCAATGAAACACTTGGCTCCTAGCACTACCGTCACTGTACCCAAATCGGAACAGTACCGCTGATCATAGTTACATGGACAATTTAAAAGTAAGATTAATAATGACCAAAACAAGACCTTCCGGACTTGCGTACGGCATGCCGCACATGCGACGCTATTTATTTGGATATCATTTTCAAAGGTCTATTTTATCAAAACTAATGCTAGTTTAGAGAAGAAAATCAATCAGAACCCTCGTTGACTCTATAAAACTTGGGAGGAGGAGGGGAGGAGAGTTGGAGAAATGTGTAGAAAGGCAGAAGAGGAAGAGAAGGAATTTGTTTGTAAATATTTCCAGTCTATAGGGTACGTACATTGTATGTATGATGTGGACCATATGTTTTGCCCGTTATCTTTCATGGCATTGTGTTTTCAGCGTGCTGCACACGCATTGTTTTGTTGCAGAAGGGCGATATTGCACTTCTCAAAGAGAAACACGTGCACAAACTGTACATATACTGTTGCGCAGTTATGAGTGGAGATAACGGGCAAATATCGTCAAGTGCAGTTTGTGGGACCCAGACGTTCCAATTCCAATTAGCTTGAACGGCCATTTCAGATATGATTCAAAAACATATGCGGTGTAAGGTGTATTAAGTGATTTGTATTTATATGTATCAAGTGATGTTTATATATATGTAAAGATGTATAAGGGTCCCGTATGGAGATGTTTATATATATATTTATATATGTAAAGATGTGTAAGGGTCCCGTATAGCGATATTTATATATATGTAAAGATGTGTAAGGGTCACGGTATGGAGATGTTTATATATATGTAAAGATGTATAAGGGTCCCGTATGGAGATGTTTATATATATATTTATTTATGTAAAGATGTGTAAGGGTCTCGTATAGCGATATTTATATATATGTAAAGATGTGTAAGGGTCCCGTATGGAGATGTTTATATATATATATGTATGTAAAGATGTGTAAGGGTCTTGTATAGTGATATCTATATATGTTAAGAAGTGTAAGGGTCCCGTATAGTGATGTTTATTATATATATGATTAGAAGTATAGGGGTCCCGTATAGTGAGGCTATATATGTATAGGCCTTAAGAAGTCTAAAGATCCCATATAGTGATATCTATATATGTTAAAAAGTGTAAGGGTCCCGTATGGGGATGTCTATATATAGGTTAAAATGTGTAAGGGCCCCTTAGAGTTCTAAAACAATGAGTAAGTGTCCCGTGTATTGGTGTGTATATATCTATACAGATCACATATGATGTTTATGCTTTCCTCCGCTGCATTCTCTGATAATGGCTGTCATTAAACACATGCAGGCTGTTTCGACGTCTGACATTCGACCACTGCGGCTCCAGCTAATGAGATTTGTCGCATACAGACCAAAACGAAAGTTCACTTTAGGAAATTCTGGTTGGATTTTACTGTTATTCGTATGTTCTGGTACAGACAAAAGGAAAGTTAAATACAGGAAATTCCGTACGGATTTTACCGCATTATGTATTATGAATGCCAGCTATATATACATTACATTATATACACGGAAGGATATGATCCCGGTACATATTGTAATACTGTTTCAGGTAATCTTCGCTGACATGAAGAACCATGGCTAGACGGAGGAAGCTTTCCGCCATAGTGATCGGGGCACTCGTGGCACTCCTGCAACTGGTGTGCATCACAAGCGCATACGCAGGTACCGATATATTTGTAAATTAAGAATTGTAAGGGTCCCATATATGATTATTATATTACAATGTTTAAGGGGCCCTCATAGTTCTATATGTTTACATAAGGCCGCTAAGGCCTCATGGTTCATGCTGGCATGAACATTGAAAAGAGTGCTGTTTATTCTCTACATTTACATTCTAAATTTTATTTTGTTACAGTATTGACCTAAATACAGATATTCCCTTATATTTCCCATATTGAGTTGTTTATGTCGTCAGTGCAAACGAGATTGCTGGAGCAGCCTAACGTCATCAAAAAGTTTGCTTCTAGCGGTTGTCTCATGTTTTTCGAGGCGGGGGAATGAAGCTTCGGATTGGCACTGTTCCGATTGCGTTCATAGCCCTATGAACGCAATTTCTTATGGTATTGCTTATAGAGGAACTTGCAGTGGAAATGTAAATATAGCTGTAGCAAGTGCTCAGGTCCCTGTGTACACTATACAGTCAAGGACACATGCGCTATCTCTAATCTCTAATCTCAAAACATGCAAATTAACGCCCTTTCCTGATAAGATAAATAACAGAGAGAGACAGTTTATATAGTGTACATCTCAATATTCAACATAGAATGCACACATTCACTCTTACTTTTATTTACAAATTATAGTAGATTTTAACATTTGTCATGAAAATGGAACCATCCAGCACAGCCAGCGCAGTGATATCCTGGCACTATTCCATACTTTCAGCTATTCAACAGTTCCGTCACAATTTGAAACCATCTTTGGTGGAAGATGGTTTCAATTTGTAAAATTGGGATTCCTACCCCAACCCTAGGGACCAGGGCGGGGCCCCAAAAGGAAAATTAATCAATATTTCAAAATTCTTCTTCTCAAGACTCAGAGGTACTAGTCATTTTCTCTCCTGGATGGAAAGATCATCAGGGGCTTTATTTAAATTGTAAATTTCAGGACCCCCGGGCCATCCGTTCCCCCTTGGGGAGGGGATAAAGTTGGCTATAGTTTATATAGGGAAACAACACTTTTGGGTATATTTTGAAAACTTTCTGTTGGAAATTATTCTTACTTGGTGAGAATTATCCTTGGAGGAGGAAGATGGTTTTAACTTATAAAATTGGGATTCCTTCCCCAACCCAAGGGGCCAGGGCGGGCCCCAAAAGGGAAAATTAGCCAATATTTCAAAATTCTTCTTCTCCAGACTCAGAGGTATTACAGTCATTTTCTCTGAATGGATGGAAAGATCATCAGGGGCTTTATTTCAATTGTAAATTTCAGGACCCCCGGGCCATCCGTTCCCCCTTGGGGAGGGGATAAAGTTGGCTATAGTTTATATAGGGAAATAACACTTTTGGGTATATTTTATCCATTTTTAGCAGAAAATTACTCGAACTTAGTTAGAATCATTTTTGGTGGATGAGGGTATTACATTGTAAAATTGGGATTCCTGCCCCATCCCCAGGGGCTAGGGCCCCAAAGGGGGGGGGGGGGGGGACATTTACCAATATTTTAAAATTCTTATCCTCTGATGACAGGACAAGCATTGTATTTAACTTGGTTTACATGCTGATTTCCACATCACATCTAAACAATAAAATAAATCTACCAGTACCTATGATATAACTCAGGTGACCGCTAAGGCCCTTGGGCCTCTTGTTTATTCTACAACTACTTCTCCTGTCTAGTAATGATGTACATGTACACCCCAATCACACAGGCCCTGATGTTCACAGCAAAGATCTATCTATTATTTAATTTAAATATTCGTAGCCTTAGAAACAAGCTGTCCTATCTCGAACATTTAGCATCGGATTTTGATGTAGTCTGTATTACTGAGACTCACCTTGATTTATCCATAGCAGATGATGACACACTCCTAGATGGTTATAACACGCATTGTAAAGACCGCGGAACTCCGGGTGGGGGGATAAACGTTTATACTTCCGGCCTCTTGTGCACACTTCGAAGAACAGACTTCGAATTCGAGATAGGCGAGGTTGTATGGACTGATATCCAGTTTCCAAACAAGAAATATCTTCTATGCAGCATACATAGAATTCCAAACTGTATGAAATCATTCTGGGAATATTTTCGACTTTATGTAGAAAAAGTCATAAACGAGACGCTGGATGTGGTTCTAGTTGGCGATATAAATGTTGATCTTGTAGTAAATAATAACCTCACACTTGTTGATATTATGAACTTTTTTCACCTGACAAATGTTATCGACAGACCGACAAGAATTGGACGCACGCGCTGCACGCTCCTTGACCCCATTCTTCTTTCAGGCACGTGCACTTTTACGATAGCTGACGTCATCGACATAGACCGCGTAATTTGTGACCACCAAGCGACATCTATAGACCTGCCCATAGTGACTAAAATTGTTAGGAAATATAAAAGGAAAATTATATTTCATAAACTTTAAAGTACTTGTAGCAACAGACTGGACTGAACTTTTTCTTAGATTCCATACACCGGACGATATGTGTGACATGTTTACAATCAATCAATCAATCAATCAATCAACTTTATTGCATTTTTACATCCAATTAACAAGGATCGAGCTGCAAACATCAAACAAACATTGATACTGTATAATGGACAGCAAAAACTACATACTTATGCACTCTGCAAAACTGCCTTCCTCAGTTCAAATGACTTTTTAATAAAGAGGCTTATTTCCTGCAAAAGCTGTGGGTCATTAGATGACAATAATAATATTAAATTTTGTAGATCAGGCAATGATAGGTTAATTTTATTTTTTTGGAGAACGTAGTCCTGATATTTAAATTTATTTTGCATTTAAATATAAAATGTACTTCATCTTCTACAGTATTGCAGAATTTACATAGTCGGGATTGTCGAGGAATCTTTTTAGATCTACCAGCCTCAATTTCTAAATTGTGGTTGCTTAGTCTCAGCTTTTCCATCAATTTTCTATATTCAAAGTTGGGTACCATAGGTAGTGTTCCTCTGCATACTTTTTTTTAAATTTTACTGTATAGAAATAATTTACTATTTCCGTCCAAACTATGCATTTTTTTCAAAACAGTAAGATTCAAATTTAGCATGTATCGACTTTTTAAACAATAGTTTCATTTTCCTTTTCTTTTTTTGCAAAGACATCCAGAAATAGCGGATGAATGCACTCCATCTAAAGTAGTTTCAATCAGACCTAATGACAAACCTTAGTTTAACTCTGACCTTAGTCTCTTTCAACCAGACTCTTGTTGCCTGCGCAAGCTACGCCGAATATAGTCTCGATCAACCAGACGCTTGATCACTTGTAATTCAAGAGGCTCTCTATTCGGCGTAGTTTGCTCAGGCAACAAGAGTCTGGTTGAACGAGACTACGCCGAATAGAGAATTACAAGTGATGAAGCGTCTGGTTGAACGAGACTACTCTGACCTGAGACGTGAAATTAGGAAAAGAGACAGCATTATCCATGTATATAAATCCAATCTCACTCAAAATAATTTGAACAATTGTAGGAAACAGCGAAAAAGTGTAAATAACCTTTAAAAAAAAAGAACAAAAGAGTTACTTTATGCGGACATTAACGGTCTTTTAGACAATTATAGTGAAACAAATCCCAGATTTCTTTGGAAACTTGTCCGTAGGTAAATTAAATAATCTGACACCTCTAATAATATATTGAAACGGATGATGACTTTTAAGACTGACATACTCAATGATCTACCATTGACGATACTGACACAGACGTACCGGTACAGATAGAACCAAAAACTGACTCGAATATCTTGGACATACCTTTTGATATCAACGACATTATTGACATTCTTAGGACACTAAAAACTAGTAAAGCTATAGGAAATGATACAATTAGTCATAATATGCTTCAAAAACACTGCCAATACAGTTGCGTTTCCTCTATCGTTGATCTTTCGTTCTTCTTTGGAAACTTGATCTTTCCACAAACAATGGAAGCATGCTCTAGTGAAACAAGATCCCTCCAATTATAGACCCATTGCAATACTAAGTACTATTGGTAAAGTTTTCGAAAGATCAGTTGCTAAGTACTTACATAACTACCTTTTAGACAATTCTATTATATATAAATATCAGGCAGGTTTCCAAGCAGGTGAAAACGTGTGCGAAAATCTTGAAAAAAACCAGCCCACTTTTTTTAGTTTTTTTGTGTGACATGTCTAAAGCGTTTGATCGAGTGGGGCTTAAACGACTCACACAACTAAATCATTTATTATATGTTATTACCAAACATTTTTGCTAATAACTTTAATATTTGAAATTCAAAACCAGTGACAACTGTTTAGATTCATGAATACATACCTTGAAAAGGCTACAAAATGATTTTTTTGGTAGGTTTAGTGGCATATTCGAGCGTCACAGCGCCAAGAAGTTGACAACCGGAAGTTTACAAGCAAAACCGCTGACCCAAAACAGAAACGCCCCCAGACATTTTGCTCCTGTGCAAATCCGCACACAGACATGGAAATATATCAAAAGTATATATATTTTCAAAAGTTAAATACCTGAACATTTCATTTATCTAAAAATCTGTCATCAGTTCCTTATTAAACTCCTTCAGTGGCCCAGTAATTAGCCGGAACATATTTCAGATAGGAACTACAAACGTATGAAACACTTGCCGATTGGCTGTTTTAGTTGTGCGAGTCCATAAGAGGCCATGGAAATTTACTGGTTTGGCTAATGAATTATGTTACTGATAGATCCCAATACGTTTTCCTTGGAGATAGTAAATCTTCTGTAAAAAAAAAGCTAATGGAAGGTGTGCCATAGGGTTCGGTTCTCAGCCCTTTATTATTTAAATCAACATGACTATATCAGTCTGTTCTTTTTTACATGACGTAATACTTTTATTGCATGTTTGACAATGCTGTTTAGCGTAGATCATGTGTATAAAGGCATGTTGACACGGATATTTCAACCGCATGTGTATAATTTGAGCCAGACTCAAGGTTTTCATGAAATTCTATCCTCGAATTCTACACCCTAAATTTCAGAGGTAGAGTTTCGGGTCAGAATTTCTCTGATCGGGTTCAGATCATCCCAATTCATTGTTGACGTGACGTCATACAAATGACGGTAGGCAACATCCGCTCATCTGAACCCTAGTTTGAGACAATGATATTTTAAACCTGGAAAAGGTCAGGATACTGCTGTCTAGAGTAGGGGGAAATAGAATCTTACATGTTTGTGGTCCGTGGACAGCGAAATCACAACCCTCCGGTAGGAGTTTGGATGTCTAGCACGAGGCTTTACCCGAGGGTTGAGATTTCCCGGTCCACATACCATACCCATGTTTGATTCTTTTTCTCCCATACTCGAAATAAATATGTCAGTGTCAATACTCGTCCTTCATATGCTTGTATATGCCATGATGCGCATGAATACAATTAGGGGTGATGAACCCTGAACATAAAATCAGAAATCCATTTAAAGCACAACGTTAACATTTTTCCTATTTAATAATTCAACAACTGGAATATATCAAAAATATTTGAACGCAGACGTCATTTCGCGGACTTGCCTAGCGGCATAATTCCATTCATCAGTGACGTTATTCCCGCGGTAAACACAGGTTTATCTTTCCACGGGTCAACTCCTGTCTTTCACGGACATGTTTGAGAGAAAATACGTATTACATACATCTTACACACGCGGGAGTGGGAGAAAAAAATGATGAAAGAAATCGGAGATAAAGAATCTACAGAATAATATTTTAACGGAATCCCTGACGTCAAAAAAAAATCTTCATTGTATCTTTGTTTGACGTCAAATGACAACGTCACAAATACTGTGATGTTTGTTCCACTGGCAGTTTATAGTCCAGTGTGCTAGATAGTCTAAATACGATTTGATGTACATTTTTTCCTACGGTTGGGTTCCGTAGATTTCTATAGTAACCTCGGTAATTCAACCTTATGACGCAATTGTCGATTGCAAAAAGTCAAAATGCATTATGGAAAGGTCTATTAGCTACTTAAGGATATCTGTCCCACACGCTATAGGCAAATCACTAGAGAACTCCGATGTAGTTTTTAACGGATACAGTTATATACCTGCCTATAGAACTATTTCAGTTGAAACTGTAGCGTGACTGATCCATGTTCTGTTGCGCAGGATCGTGATTGTAGACACATGCTTCGAATCCTGATGTTGTTCCGTTACATGATTTGGTTGTTGAAGTTGGCCCTGTGAACATGCTTAGTGTACTCACGAGACAATTTTGCACAGGTCACTTAACCTTTTTATGGCGTTTCATTTGATATACAAATCCGGAATTAAATGATACCAGAATCACATTTGCAATTATATTTCTCTCAGGGTGCATCGCAGTTCCTTTCTTCCAGCGTGCATTGCGGTACGTCCGCAACAGCCGATTCAAAATTCTTGAATAAAACGTACTTTCACCATATTTTATGATAATATTATAAAGAAATCTTGCTCATTTTCTTGAAACCATGTTAGAATTCATCATTTTAGCATAAATAAGATTACTTTTATGCAATTATTACGCTATATGATATTTTTATGGAATAGAATTGAACCAATAGGTGCGTATATACATCTGCTGTGTAAATTATATTTTCGTTTTCTGCATGGTGTTTACAAAATTTAAAATCAGAGATGAAGTTAAGACCAGCTACATGTATACATTCAATTTCTTTGAATTAAAAGATATAGAAACAGAACTGTGGATCAATTTCAGTATTAAGAAATCTATTTATTTTTGAACTTTTGATTACAGCTCACCCACTCATTTTTTAAATCCTATTATAAGTTTTGTGTTAAACGAAAAAGGCCCTTTTGTAATTTTCCACACTGGGCGCCGCCATCTTGTTTTATTAACGTGACCCGGAGGCCAAATTGCATAGTCTGTGACACGTTGAATCGTAGAGCAAGGAGTCCTTTGAGAGATCATTCGGAACCTCTCGTTGGCTTGTTCCTCGCACACAAACGATGGAGCATAAACTATAATTAAAACTTTAGTTAATCCAAAATGGCGTAGACTTCAATCTTATTCAAGATGGCGTCACGAAGATAATATTGTTACTTTTATTTCTTGCAATTAAATAGACATTATTTCCTTTGTGCTACATCAGGGACAGTATCATATACGTCCCTGGCTACATACATTCACAATATTTGCAATATGGTAGTGGTACATGTACAAAATAAGTTCTGACAAGTTTACAACAGGCAACCTTAATACCATCTGTACATAGTAAACACAATCTGTACATAGTCAATACAATCTATATATAGTCAATACAATCTATATATAATCAATATAATATATATATATAGTCAATACAATCTATATATAGTCAATACAATCTATATATAGTCAATCTATATATAGTCAATACAATCTATATATAGTCAATACAATCTATATATAGTCAATACAATACGTACATAGTAAACACAATCTGTACATAGTCAATACAATCTGTACATTGTCAATACAATCTATACATAGTCAATACAATCTATATATAGTCAATACAATCTATATATAGTCAATACAATCTATATATGATATTGTGACTGGGTAACAGCATCATTTTAAGAATTGCTACATCGTTGTGAGCGAATGATAATGAGATGAAAGAACACTTTTTTCCAGATCACATTTGAGTTTTTAAACATGTTAAAAATATACTGTTTTCTATTTGCAGTGTCTCCTACTCGTTGCTTGTTTTCAAAACGTCTCAACAGCACGGCCGAAAATGAATTACAAGGTAGGTAAACGAACAGAAAAGAGTATTTATCAATTAACGTTAAATAAAGGAAATAGTGTAATGTTCGAATGTCAAATTTACACTGGAGGATCCCTATCCCGATGCATGCAGGCAAAACACGAGTTTTCTCCGGGTACTCCGGTTTCCTCCCACATAAAGACCCCCTGCGCGCTAAGATCCGGGCTAACAAGAGTGACTAATATGATTTGTAATAAGTTGCTTCATAATTATTGTAAAATACTTTAAGTTTATATTCTATAACATGAAATGTAACTGTTTTAATTTCTCTACGAACAGTATACACCTGTTAATTTCATGTTTGAGATGGTGTACATGTAGCCCCACTATTGTGGGGCTACATGTACGCCCGGGGGTGCACTGCTGATAATGTAGCTCAATTGGTTAGAACGACCCGCTCTGGCCCAGCTCCATGGTAATTAACTCTCAGACCACTTCCAATGTTTTTATGTTTTTTTTTAAAGAGATATGGCGGGTTGCTATTCCTATTATTTCCCCAAGGCTATGTTACGCTAGTGCGCGCATCCAACCGTGCACTGTTATGACGCGTCCTCAGGTATTTTTATACAGGTAGCAATATCGGAATCCCGTGTCTAAGAATAGATAATTGTAAACAGACCACATATTTGGTATTTCGGCATTATTTGTTGGTGTTTAAGCACTTGATACAATTACTATTGCCAGTTGGAGGGTAAAACAATTCATAAATTTCATCAAAAATAGTGTCTTACCTATAAAGCGTAGCTGTACTGTACACGTGTACAGGGATTTGTTGACATACTTCGATAGAATAGAAGTATGTCGCAGTAAATAGTTAAGAAATTATTACTAACAAAACTGATAAATCAATAGGTATGTTATTAAAATGTAAACAAAATCTTCCATCGATTTAAAAAAAAAACATTGCTTTATTAAGGAAAATGATCACATGCCTAAATATTTAAAAATAACTGAAGGAGGATTCGAACCTGCATCGTTTATTTTCTAGTCGCAAGTAAACTGCGTTACACATTCGGCTACATAGAACATGTAGATATTGGCAATTACAAACTTATTTAACCCGAGAAACACCGGTCGCAGTTTGGAGAAACTTGATCACCCCTGTTTTTCATTATTTTGAGCACTTTCCCAAAGGAGGACCACTTTTCCGTAATACGATTTGTTTTTGCATATTACATCACGGTCACAAAAAGTTTATTCAAAAGTTGGTCCTCGGATGGGAAAGTGTTGAAAGTATTTTTTTATGTCCGGGAAACCCCATCACTTTCATAGATATAGTGTATATGGCTATATTTGCAGTATCATATTAGCAATACCTAATTTCTCAGCAGTTTAAAAATTCATATTCAATTGGTTTTGTATCTTTTGTATGCATTTTTGCTACACGAAATGTTTTACTCCTTAATTTTTTCCCCCGTTTTCATAAATGCCGACTAAGGGAATTACGGGCAGTTTTCCGCCATACCTCTTTCAATTCTTCTTATTTTTAACTTGTTAATTCTTGCGGGCAAAAACGTTTCAATCTCATTGTTTCTTTAACAGTTTTGGCAGTGGTACAGGGACCCTAAATGAAAAAAATATTAATACATATGTAGCACCAGACACATTTTATAAACACTAAGTAGGGTCTCTTTCCCTGAGCTTTGAGGCAAGGCTAAATAAACATTGCAGGAAGGCGCCGTGCTGCTTTATTCAAAATTAACAACGCCGGTGCGCATGCGCACGTGGCGTCTACGTTAAAGAATCTATAGTCTCTTTCAACCAGAATCTTGTTGTCTGGAGAACCTACACGGTAATCCTCTGCAAACATTCGTTTAGCATTCGAGGTACCTTCCGACCAGACTTTGGGTGTCCAAGTGGGGAAAAATTTAGCAAAATGGTGAAAATACATGATTTTTAAAGAAAATTCTCTGGGTGGGGGTTTCTTGAGGCCCAAAAAAACCCTCTGGATCCGCCACTGTATTCTGTAAATATAAATGTACTATATAGGTCAAGTACACTCTATATACAGGTATACTAAGTATGTAATCGTATGCTTAGCATGCAAGTTTCCATTTCATTTCCATTTCATACGAGAATTTATGACACGAGTCTATCTTCAAACATTTAAGCAAGCAGCTGCATGCGTTTGAATTTACATTTCAAAATTATGATATTTACACACAAAAAAAAGATTGACAGGATAATAATTTTTAAAATTACAAACCGATCGATGTCACAAACGATGACAGAATTAATGGTGATACAACGACAGAGTGATAAATAAATACATGGACAAACTGACGAAACCATATACGATGACAAAACAGCAGAATATTGTGACTTATGATGACATAATATTGTGACTTACGATGAGAGAATATTGTGACGTATGATGACAAAATATCGTGACTAACGATGACAGAGTATTGTGACCAACGGTGACAGAATATTGTGACAATGATTGTGACGCATGATGACAGAATATCGTGATTAACGATTACAGAATATTTTGACCACAGTGACTGAATATTGTGACTTATGATGACAGAATATTGTGACTTATGATGACGAAATATTGAGAATTATGATGACGAAATATTGTGACCGATGATGACGGAATATTGTGACTTATAATGACGAAATATTGAGAATTATGATGACGAAATATTGTGACCGATGATGACGGAATATTGTCACTTATGATGACAGAATATTGTGACTTATGACGACGAAATATTGAGAATTATGACGACGAAATATTGTGACCGATAATGACAGAATATTTTGACTAATAATGACGAAATATCGAGAATTATGATGACGAAATATTGTGACCGATGATGACGGAATATTGTCACTTATGATGACAGAGTATTGTGATTGATGATGACAGAGTATTGTGATTGATAATGACGAAATATTGTGACTTAAGATGACGAAATATTGTCACTTATGATGACAGAATATTGTGATTGATGATGACAGAATATTGTGATTGATGATGACAGAATATTGTGATTGATGATGACAAAATATTGTGATTGATGATTACAGGATATTGTGATTTATGATGACAGAATATTGTGACTGATGATTACAGGATATTGTGATTTATAATGATAGAATATTGTGATTGATGATGACAGAAAATTGTCACTTATGATGACAGAATATTGTGTTTTACGATGGCAGAATATTGTGATTGATGATGACAGAATATTGTGATTGATGATGACAGAATATTGTGATTGATGATGACAGAATATTGGGACTAGCGTTGACAGAAAATTGTGACTTAGGATGTCGGAATATTGTGACAATATGTTTAGGCCTTTGCATTGATATTACAATATTCATAGTGCTACGTATTTTAAGGTTATTAATTATATAGGTAACGCAACACGTTACAGATTACGAACGAGTTATCTTTATTATTTCATTGGCAGTTAAAGAGACGATTTGGGACTTTTCACTGCCGTGTCGTGTCAGTTTTTCACTTATATCATGTGCATCGAATGTTCTCACGCAAGGCCTTGACAAATTTCTGAAAAACAAGTCAATTTATTTTTAGCTAGACTTATCGACCGAGTTTTCGATGTCAATTGCAAAGGTTTCCTACCTGATGTTAAACTATTACTGCTTATAAATAGACATCGAGGTTGATAAAAAGTTTTACGTAATCATCTGGAACATGTAGGCGTGATTGAATCAAGTACTTATCGGTTAACTGAAACAGAAATCAATTTTCGCTTTTAAGGTATGACTTTGGAAAACTGTGTTGTGAATGGCGAAGACAAGAGCAGTAAGTATCAGCATGATTTCAAGGTGTAATAAATATTGAGTATCAACATCGGTAGAAGAGTGAAAGTCAACATTAGTGTTGATGTCGACATCAGTGTGAATGTCAACATAAGTGTGGGTGTTGACATCAGTGTGAATGTTAACGTAAGTGTGGGTGTCAACATCAGTGTGAATATCAACATTAGTGTGTTTGTCAACATCAGTGTGAATGTCAACATCAGTGTTGTTGTCGACATCAGTGTGAATGTCAACATTAGTGTTAGTGTCCACATCAGTGTGAATGTCAACATTAGTGTGGGTGTTGACATCAGTGTGAATGTCAACATTAGTGTGTTTGTCAACATCAGTGTGAATGTCAACATCAGTGTTGGTGTCGACATCAGTGTGAATGTCAACATTAGTGTTGGCGTCGACATCAGTGTGAATGTCAACATTAGTGTTGGTGTCGACATCAGTGTGAATGTTAATGTAAGTGTTGGTGTCTACATCAGTGTGAATGTCTACATCAGTGTGAATGTAAACATCAGTGTGGGTGTCGACATCAAAGTGAATGTCAACATCAGTGTGGGTATCGACATCGGTGTGAATGTCAACATTAGTGTGTTTGTCAACATCAGTGTGAATGTCAACATCAGTGTTGGTGTCGACATCAGTGTGAATGTCAACATAAGTGTTGGTGTCGACATCAAAGTGAATGTCAACATCAATTTGGGGGTCGACATCAGTGTGAATGTAAATGTAAGTGTTGGTGTCGACATCAGTGTGTATGTCAACGTAAGTGTTGGTGTCGACATCAAAATGAATGTCAACATAAGTGTTGGTGTCGACATCAGTGTGAATGTCAACATTAGTGTTGGTGTCGACATCAGTGTGAATGTCAACATTAGTGTTGGTGTCGACATCAGTGTGAATGTCAATGTAAGTGTTTGTGTCGACATCAGTGTGAATGTCAACATCAGTGTGGGTGTCGACATCAGTGTGAATGTCAGCATTAGTGTTGGTGTCGACATCAGTGTGAATGTCAACATTAGTGTTGGTGTCGATATCAGTGTGAATGTCAATGTAAGTGTTTGTGTCTACATCAGTGTGAATGTCAACATCAGTGTGGGTGTCGACATCAGTGTGAATGTCAGAATTAGTGTTGGTGTCGACATCAATGTGAATGTCAACAGTAGTGTGTTTGTCAACATCAGTGTGAATGTCAACGTAAGTGTTGGTTTCGACATCAAAGTGAATGTCAACATAAGTGTTGGGGTCGACATCAGTGTGAATGTCAACATAAGTGTTGGTATCGACATCGGTGTGAATGTCAACATTAGTGTTTGTGTCGACATCAGTGTTGGTATCGACATCAGTGTGAATGTCAACATTAGTGTTGGTGTCGACATCAGTGTGAATGTCAATGTAAGTGTTTGTGTCGACATCAGTGTGAATGTCAGCATTAGTGTTGGTGTCGACATCAATGTGAATGTCAACATTAGTGTGTTTGTCAACATTAGTGTGAATGTCAACATCAGTGTTGGTGTTGACATCAGTGTTAATGTCAACATTAGTGTGGGTATCGACATCAAAGTGAATGTCAACATCAGTGTGGGTGTCGACATCAGTGTGAATGTAAATGTAAGTGTTGGTGTCGACATCAGTGTGAATGTCAACATAAGTGTTGGTGTCGACATCAGTGTGAATGTCAACATAAGTGTTGGTGTCGACATCAGTGTGAATGTAAATGTAAGTGTTGGTGTCGACATCAGTGTGAATGTCAACATCAGTGACGGTATTGACATCAGTGTGAATGTCAACATTAGTGTTGGTGTCGACATCAGTGTGAATGTCAATGTAAGTGGTGGTGTCGACATCAGTGTGAATGTCAACATAAGTGTTGGTGTCGACATCAGTGTGAATGTAAATGTAAGTGTTGATGTCGACATCCGTGTGAATGTCAACCTTAGTGTGGGTATCGACATCAAAGTGAATGTCAACATCAGTGTTGGTGTCGACATCAGTGTGAATGTCAACAGTAGTGTGGTAGTGTTGGTGTCGACATCAGTGTGAATGTCAACATTAGTGTGGGTATCGACATCAATGTGAATGTCAACATCAGTGTTGGTGTCGACACCAAAGTGAATGTCAACATCAGTGTGGGTGTCGACATCATGGTGAATGTCAACATCAGTGTTGGTGTCGACACCAAAGTGAATGTCAACATCAGTGTGGGTGTCAACATCAAAGTGAATGTCAACATCAGTGTGGGTGTGGACTGAATGTCAACATAAGTGTTGGTATCGACATCGGTGTGAATGTCAACATTAGTGTTGGTGTCGACATCAATGTGAATGTCAACATCAGTGTTGGTGTCGACATGAAAGTGAATGTCAACATCAGTGTGGGTGTTGACATCAAAGTGAATGTCAACATCAGTGTGGATGTCGACATCAAAGGGAATGTCAACATCAGTGTGGGTGTCGACATCAGTGTGAATGTAAATGTAAGAGTTGATGTCGACATCCGTGTGAATGTCAACCTTAGTGTGGGTATCGGCATCAAAGTGAATGTCAACATCAGTGTTGGTGTCGACACCAAAGTGAATGTCAACATCAGTGTGGGTGTCGACTTCAAAGTGAATGTCAACATCAGTGTGGGTGTGGACTGAATGTCAACATAAGTGTTGGTATCGACATCGGTGTGAATGTCAACATTAGTGTTGGTGTCGACATCAGTGTGAATGTAAATGTAAGAGTTGATGTCGACATCCGTGTGAATGTCAACCTTAGTGTGGGTATCGACATCAAAGCGAATGTCAACATCAGTGTTGGTGTCGACATCAGTGTGAATGTCAATGTAAGTGTTTGTGTCGACATCAGTGTGAATGTCAACATAAGTGTTGGTATCGACATCAAAGTGAATGTTAGCATTAGTGTTGGTATCGACATCATGTTTGTCAACATCAGTGTGAATGTCAACATCAGTGTTGGTGTCGACATGAAAGTGAATGTCAACATCAGTGTGGGTGTCGACTTCAAAGTGAATGTCAACATCAGTGTGGGTGTCAACATCAAAGTGAATGTCAACATCAGTGTGGGTGTGGACTGAATGTCAACATAAGTGTTGGTATCGACATCAAAGTGAATGTTAGCATTAGTGTTGGTATCGACATCATGTTTGTCAACATCAGTGTGAATGTCAACATCAGTGTTGTTGTCGACATCAGTGTGAATGTCAACATTAGTGTTGGTGTCGACATCAGTATGAATGTAAATGTAAGTGTTGGTGTCGACATCAAAATGAATGTCAACATAAGTGTTAGTGTCGACATCAGTGTGAATGTCAACATCAGTGACGGTATCGACATCAAAGTGAGTGTCAACATAAGTGTTGGTGTCGACATCAGTGTGAGTGTCAACATCAGTGACGGTATCGACATCAGTGTGAATGTTAACGTTAGTGTGGTTGTCAACATCAGTGTGAATGTCAGCATAGGTGTTAGTGTCGAAATCAGTGTGAATGTCAACATAAGTGTAGGTATCGACATCAAAGTGAATGTCAACATAAGTGTTGATGTTGACATCAGTGTGAATGTCAACATCAGTGCTGTTGTCGACATCAGTGTGAATGTCAATGGAAGTGTTTGTGTCGGCATCAGTGTGAATGTTAACATAAGTGTTGGTATCGACATCAGTGTGACTGTCAACATTAGTGTGGGTGTTGACATCAGTGGGAATGTCAACATTAGTGTTGGTGTCGACATCAATGTGAATGTCAACATTAGTGTGGGTGCTGACATCAGTGTGAATGTCAACATCACTGACGGTATTGACCTAAGTGTGAATGTCAACATTAGTGTTTGTGTCGACATCAGTGTGAATGTAAAGGTAAGTGTTGGTGTCGACATCAGTGGGAATGTCAACATAAGTGTTGGTGTTGACAACAGAGTGAATGTTAATGTTAGTGTTGGTGTCGACATTAGTGTGAATGTCAACATTAGTGTGGGTGTTGACATCAGTGGGAATGTCAACATTAGTGTTGGTGTCAACATCAGTGTGAATGTAAATGTAAGTTTTGAATGTCAACATCAGTGTGGGTGTCAACATCAAAGTGAATGTCAGCATAGGTGTTAGTGTCGAAATCAGTGTGAACATCAGTGTGAATGTCAACATCAGGGACGGTATCGGCATCAAAGTGAATGTCAACATAAGTGTTGATGTTGACATCAGTGTGAATGTCATCATAAGTGTTAGTGTCGAAATCAGTGTGAACATCAGTGTGAATGTCAACATCAGTGCTGTTGTCGACATCAGTGTGAATGTCAGCATAAGTGTTAGTGGCGAAATCAGTGTGAATGTCAACATGAGTGTTGGTGTCGACATCAGTGGGAATGTCAACATAAGTGTTGGTGTTGACAACAGAGTGAATGTTAATGTTAGGGTTGGTGTCGACATCAGGGTGAATGTCAACATAAGAGTTGGTGTCGACATCAGCGTGAATGTCAACATAAGTGTTGGTAACGACATCAGTGTGAATGTCAACAGTAGTGTGGTAGTGTTGGTGTCGACATCAGTGTGGATGTCAACATAAGTGTTGGTGTCAACATCAGTGTAAATGTCAACATAAGTGTTGGTGTTGACAACAGAGTGAATGTTAATGTTAGTGTTGGTGTCGACATTAGTGTGAATGTCAACATTAGTGTTGGTGTCGACATCAATGTGAATGTCACCATCAGTGTTGGTGTCGACATCAGTGTCAATGTCAACATAAGTGTTGGTGTTGACAACAGAGTGAATGTTAATGTTAGTGTTGGTGTCGACATCAGGGTGAATGTCAACATTAGTGTTGGTGTTGACATCAGTGTGAATGTCAGCATAAGTGTTAGTAGTGTTGGTGTCGACATGAAAGTGAATGTCAACATCAGTGTGGGAGTCAACATCAAAGTGAATGCGAACATCAGTGTGGGTGTCGACATCAGTGTGAATGTAAAGGTAAGTGTTGGTGTCGACATCAGCGTGAATGTCAACATCAGTGACGGTATCGACATCAAAGTGAGTGTCAACATAAGTGTTGGTGTCGACACCAGTGTGAATGTCAACATTAGTGTTGGTGTCGACATTAGTGTGAATGTCAACATTAGTGTTTGTGTCGACATCAGTGTGAATGTCAGCATTAGTGTTGGTGTCGACATCAATGTGAATGTCAACATTAGTGTTGGTGTCAACATCAGTGTGAATGTAAATGTAAGTGTTGGATGTCGACATCAGTGTGGATGTAAAAGTAAGTGTTGGTGTCGGCATCAGAGTGAATGTCAACATAAGTGTTGGGGTCGACATCAGTGTGAATGTCAATGTAAGTGTTTGTGTCGCCATCAGTGTGAATGTCAACATAAGAGTTGGTATGGACATCAGTGTGAATGTGAACATTAGTGTGGGTGTTGACATCAGTGGGAATGTCAACATAAGTGTTGGTGTTGACAACAGAGTGAATGTTAATGTTAGTGTTGGTGTCGACATTAGTGTGAATGTCAACATAAGTGTGGGTATCGACATCAGTGTGAATGTTAACGTTAGTGTGGCTGTCAACATCAGTGTGAATGTCAGCATAAGTGTTAGTGTCGAAATCAGTGTGAATGTCAACAAAAGTGTTGGTGTCGACATCAGTGTGAATGTCAATGTAAGTGTTTGTGTCGGCATCAGTGTGAATGTTAACATTAGTGTGGGTGTTGACATCAGTGTGAATGTCAACATTAGTGTGGGTGTGGACATCAGTTTGAATGTCAACATAAATGACGGTATCGACATCAGTGCGAGTATCAACATCAGTGACGGTATCGACATCAAAGGGAATGTCAACATAAGTGTTGGTGTTGACGACAGAGTGAATGTTAATGTTAGTGTTGGTGTGGACATCAGTGTGAATGTCAATATTAGTGTTGGTGTCGACATCGGTGTGAATGTAAATGTAAGTTTTTGCGTTAATGTCTGTATGAATGTTAACATAAGTGTGGATGTCGTTGTAAGTTTGAATGTCAACATAAATGACGGTATCGACATCAGTGCGAGTATCAACATCAGTGACGGTATCGCCATCAAAGTGAATGTCAACATAAGTGATGGTGTTGACAACAGAGTGAATGTTAACGTTAGTGTTGGTGTCGACATCATTGTGAATGTCAACATTAGTGTGGGTGTTGGGATCAGGGTGAGTGTCAACATAAGTGTTGGTGTTGACAACAGTGTGAATGTTAATGTTAGTGTTGGAGTCGACATCAGTGTGAATGTCCACATTAGTGTTGGTGTCGGCATCAGTGTGAATGTCAACATCAGTGACGGTATCGACATCAAAGTGAATGTCAACATAAGTGTTGGTGTTGACAACAGAGTGAATGTTAATGTTAGTGTTGGTGTCGACATCAGTGTGAATGTCAACATTAGTGTTGGTGTCGACATCAGTGTGAATGTAAATGTAAGTTTTTGCGTTAATGTCTGTATGAATGTTAACAGAAGTGTGGATGTCGTTGTAAGTTTGAATGTCAACATAAATTTAGGTGTCAAGATCAGTATAGTCCCCAGTGAATATCTCTTCCAGATGTTGTTTTTATGGAAGCGCCGATATTTAGAATGTACTTGCTTGGTAACGTCAGTTCGAAGAGATGCATGTAGTCACTACGGAATATCTCAAGACCAAAACAAATTGAATACTCTTTTTTTTTTAAATGTTATTTGAAATCTGTATAACTTGCACTGCCAGCTTTTTTTTTTTTTTTTTTTAAATATTGCTGAAATAAGCAGGACTAAATAAGATTTTATTGGATCAGGTTTTTTTTTCTTTCAGATACATCGTCCTGCACACTACCACACAACAGTTCTATTGCGTCGATCCGGCATTTGTGTCTCTGTGGCAGGAATAGGAACCTGAAAAATTCTCATTTTGATTGTGATGTCCGTACATGTAAGTACATCCAGTAACATGTAGACATAGTGCATCCGGTAATGCATGTACATAATTCATAGGGTGACGTGTATACATAGTACATCCGGTCACGTGTATGCATAATTCTTAAGTTACGTGTATACATAGAAACATTCGGTGCCCTGGAGTCTGTACAATCCGTCACGTGAATACATGACAACTTCCGGTCACGTGAATACATGAATACATCAAAATCTGTGTACACATTAAAAAATCCAGTCACGTGTATACATTTTTACATCCGGTCACGTGTATACATTTTTACATCCGGTCACGTGAATACATATTTACACCCAGTCACGTGTAAACATAAGATATTTTTCATGTTTATACATCGTGCATCCGGTTGCAACAATGTCTATTTTTCACGGCTCGTACCGTAAAAGACACAACACCGTCTATAAATCATAGCTAGTAAAAGACACAGCAATGTTAATATTGCATGACTGGTAAAAGACACAGCACTGTCTATATCAAATAGCTAGTATCAGACACGTACACTGTTGATACAGTAGAAATATATTTGGTAGACTGCAAAATCTATATAATATTTTTTTCATTTTGTTTTGCAGGCTGTAAGACTAAAGAAGATTGGATATGTCTTAATGGTGGCACACTGGATATTTGTGAAGATTATTACTTCGAATGTAAATGTGATATCCGTAAGTAACCTCCATTCTTAATTTTTGCTAAAATAGGGGAAATGTTAAAGATTGAATGTCTATGTGAAGTAGGTAGGTATAGAAAAAAATTCAGATCTAACGACCGGCGTTTGAAAATGTGAGCCTGTTTCTCTTTCTAGTTTTTTTTTATGTTTTCATTAATCATTACGTTTCTACTATAACCCTCCCGAGACATCCCCAATACTCCAGTGGTAACGCTCCCTGAACCCCTGGAATATGTCATGACAAAATCGAAGGCTCAGTATGTGCAACCTTGTGGATGAGACAAGTTTGACGGACATTAAAAAAATATCACGACAGCGTAACGTTAAAATTGACCGGTGGTCGGGTAGCGCAGTGGATAGTTTGATCGCCATGCATTCCCCAAGACGGTCGGGGTTCTTTCCCCGAACGTATCTGAAAGGTCTGAGGTCGCCTACCCTGACCACGTTGGTTTTCTCCGGGTACTGCGGTGTTTTCCCACTTTGAAGACCCACCGCGCACTCACATTCGTGCCAACAAGAGTGATTGGTCAGTTGTTTTTTCAACGGTGACCAATCAAATAGCCTGCTGCATTGCATTCAATTTTGCAATAGCATATTTCAGAGGTGCAAAGAGCATATGTAAGTGAGCGTAACCCCTGGAGTATCGAGGATGTGTCAAAGACGGCTGAGTGAGCAACTATGTATTTTATGCAATGAAAATCATATCGAGTATGAATACCAGTATATATTAAAATGTAACCACTATGCTGATATCTGTTCAAATTTCAGTCGGCGATTTTATTTTAAAAAAGAATAGAATTTTTTAAATGCATTCAAATTCTCAGTCAAATATACATTAATGTAGAACTTTTTTTAAAGTAATTCAGTCAGAAGATATTTTAATCATTTGCGAGTAAACGTAAAAACATTTTTAATAGCAGGACACATCTAAAACCATCCTCGATACTCCAGGGGTTTCGCACACTTAGAAAAGCGAAAGTGAAGCAATCCCCTGGAGTATGGAGGATGGACAAAGTCAGGTAATATATATGAAGACAATATGCAAATGTATTGCCTGTAATACTTTTGATGATGATGATGATGATGACGATGATGACGATGGTGATGATGATGTATTAATAATATATAACCTTTGATATAGCGCCCTATCTAGCTAACATAAGCCACTCTAAAGCGCTTTACAGTACATAGATATACAATTGATACAATTAGGATAAACAATTTTTGAGGAATTCGCAGGAGCTGCCTTATCAGGCGCTAACTACTAGTCCTATGCCACCTGGATATTATCTCCCTATGTGTGTATGCCTGCGTGTGTGCTGGAGATGTATTGTGTTCTGTTTGTAGTGGGACCGTGCTTCCAACGGCATCTTTTATAGTGCCACCACACAAAAATACTACATTACAGATACCGCAACATCCACCCCAGACCATTTTATACTCCACCTGGGTTGTTGGAGTTGATGACGTGTGCAAGTGTCTTAGTTATTTTGTCAAACTAAACTTGTCATAATTTGTAAAAACTTATGCAAATATATAAATGATATGAAATGAATACTAAATACAAAATTTACGTAAATACCATGCCGTTACTATACCTTGTCTCTAATTTATATCGTAGAAAACCTGCAAAAGTATTCAACTCAACATTTGAGATAGCACTCAATTGCTTTTCTTTCGTCGATACATTTCTTTTTTACATCTTCCCATAAAAATTCATTCCACTGAATCTCCATATATGTATCTTTGAAGAAAACGTCGATGATTTTAAGGGGTACAGGTAAAGGAAGATGATCACCATGGTAACAAATAAACATTTTTTTTTCTCTCCAGCCTTTTATGGAAAGCGGTGCGAGTTGGTTGATGTAAGTATGAACTAGTATTCATTCAAATAATCTTAGCTTGTTACAATCGGAAACTGTCAGCTCTTTCCGTAAACGAGAGGAAGCGACTGAAATACCACACTTTTGTCATAGCCAGTAGGGAGTTCACTTATGACATGGCTGCCTCAATACTGATTCCAAATGTTTTCATGTTGTTTAGCAATATACTTATGTGGGGTACTGCTCATTTATGCAATTTTCAACAAGATGTTTTTAGGTAGTAGAACTAAAGCAATGGAGAATTCCAATAAATACTGGTAAAATTTCGGTTGAAAAGTGATTTATTTTTTACAAAACCCTAGACATGTCTCAAGCCGGCGACTTACACGTTAATCCTTACACTTGAAGGCCTACACTGTTGTTGGACACAATTCGTATAACTAAACCTTCCACTCCCGATATGTATATCTTGCATTCCTGACTGAGATATCCTCGTTTCCGGTGGTACTGGAAAACTCTATCCGAATCATGGGTCCGGTTCGCTTACAGGCGCAGACTGGTTGGGGAATTATAGTGTCCTTTCGGGGTCACGCTATTGTTCGTGACGTCATTTTACAACTGTTTGGGCTCCTGTCAGGTTCATTGACGTCATATGCAAATGAGAAATGTGTGGCCAGTTTAAAAACTTTACTAAAAAGCAGCTGTTTTTTACGGGTTTTAGGTAATATGCAAGAAATAGAATTCATCCCTGATGTGAGGTATGAATAAAGTCATGGAAACCCCTCGCCCTCGGGATAAAATATTGAGTAAAAGACCCTCGGCAAAGCCTCTGGTTTCCTGCTCAATATTTTATCCCTTTGGTTTGAATAACCTTATCAATACCTCACATCGGGAACGAATTCTATTAAACCGACCCCTTCCAAATACTGTATAAGCTAAACAGAGTCAAAATTATTAAAAAAAAATACGCTACTGAGTGTGCTTTTTGTCAAATGTGTCATACACCGGAAGTAAAACGGATATTTCACGCGCTGGGCAAATATGCTGTGACGTCACAGTGGTTGACAGGTATTTGCGTGTTTGTCATTGCATAAAGTGGGATGGAGACGGATATATGCTTGGCATATGTGGCAGGTGTCAGACGACAAGCGGGTTTGTCCGAAATGTGGCATATGCCAAGCTCTATATATATATAAATAACATCTATACAAAAGTTGCAGTTTCATGACGTAGATTAAGGGGGAAATAACTCTAAATCAATCACGATAAAATATTTAAGGATGCACGCTACAACCAAAGAATGTTATATTTCCCACAAATTCATTTTACAAAAATAAATACCAGATATAAACTCACAATTTTCAAACTGGCATTGTTTCGGTGATAATGTCGAGAAAATATTTGTCAGTAACATTTATATTTGACAGGTGAATCGAGAATGTGTATCAGATACGTCAGGTGATGAACTGTTAGGATGCGATAACGCTGGGGAGTCGACGAACTCATGTTTGCATATAGTAAACCAGAATCGTTTCCTCTGTGAATCACCGGTGGACTCACAATCAGGTAGGCTAAACCAAAGCTATCTTACTTATAACTTTAATATCATATTTTTGTCGTAAATCAAGTCGATTACTTTTCAGGGACCGTGTTATTATTTTATATTTATTTCAAATTTGGCGAATATGTGAATCGGCAAATGCTACAAAGAATATTTACAAGAATATGTATTAAACGTTGCATACCATAAACATACAAACATTAGCTCGGTAGAGCTATTTCTCAACCATAGGGATATAATCATTACTTATCAATTAATTCTTCATGTCGTACGATCCTTTAAGATCCTTAAAGTGTTAATTCAACAATTTGTTATTTGTTCTCATAACACAATAGAGAGAGGGAAAGGGAAGAAAAATACCAGAAATTTTGCAGAAAAAATATAACACCAAAATATGCCCTTAGCATATTGAATGGGTTTTCATAAATTATATATGTAAGTATGAAATAGAATTAAAAACGTAATTTTATTGAAGAATGACTCAATTTGCAACTACTAAATTAGTGCAATTTACCCTCTGTAAAATGATCAAGAGACAGATGGATCTAAAAAAAATCATGTTGATTTATCGCCGTCGGGGGCTTGACCCCTGGTCCCCGTACGTACGAGGGTCATGTTCTTAACACGCTTGGGAGGGGGCTTAAGGATGTTCCTAAATGAATAGAACTATCACATACCATATATACCAATTCAAAAACACAATGTACTACCTATATTATCTTATGGTTTTTTTGAATAAAACACAATTTACTAATACTGAAAAAAATCCCCTTTTAGAGGTGAGCAGACTCCAACTGCCTCAATGTCACGAAATTCCTGAGGGAGGTATGGAAACGGAAATCACTGTTGTAAGTTCCGTAACGCAGACACCCGACGAAGGTCCGGTAACAAGAGGAAATTGGTCAGACTGGTCGCCGTGGTCAGGCTGCTCTATGGCGGACGATGCAGTGTCAACGGGACCCTGTTTGTGTCGTAAAAGGGAATGTCGGGACGAGATGTGTCAGGGAGCAGGAGTAGAGGTGTCTAACTGTACAGGTAAGAATTGATCGAAGTCTATAATCGTTAACTAACTACACATACCAAGTGTCTTAATGTCCATATGAAATGTCTAAATTTGCATAAAAAGTGTGTAAATATACATACCAAGTGTCTTAATGTTCATATGAAATGTCTAAATTTACATACAAAGTGTGTAAATATACATACCAAGTGTCTTAATGTCCATATGGAATGTCTAAATTTACATATAAAGTGTGTAAATATACATACCAAGTGTCTTAGTGTTCATATGGAATGTCCAATTTTACATACCAAGTGTCTAAATGACCATATGGAATGCCTATATTTACATACAGTGTTTAAATATACATACCAAGTGTCTTAATGTTCATATGGAATGTCTAACTTTACATATAAAGTGTGTAAATATACATACCAAGTGTCTAAATGACCATATGAAATGCCTATATTTACATACAGTGTTTAAATATACATGCCAAGTGTCTTAATGTCCATATGGAATGTCTAAATTTACATATAAAGTGTGTGAATATACATACCAAGTGTCTTATTGTTCATATGGAATGTCCAAATTTACATACCAAGTGTCTAAATGACCATATGGAATTCCTATATTTACATACAGTGTTTAAATATACATGCCAAGTGTCTTAATGTCCACATGGAATGTCTACATTTACATACAAAGTGTGTAAATATACATACCAAGTGTCTAAATGTCCACATGGAATGTCTAAATTTACATACAGAGTGTGTAAATATACATACCAAGTGTCTTAATTATTAATGTACATGTGTACACTGTGTCCTAATGAGCATATGTATACTGCATGTACAAAAGGTCTTATTGTAAATAACAAGGACCTGGTAGAACAAAGTTTATGTCCTATAGTACATACACAATGTCTTAATGTACATGCAATGTATCTTAATGTAGATAGAAAATGTCTAAATATACATACAAAGTGTCTTAATACACATGTATACAAAGTATCGTAATGTACATACCAAGGGCCCGGTAGTACAACGTCGATGTTGTTTAGATACACAATGTCTTAATGCACATATAACAATGAAATAAACTATCGATAGATTTGAAATACATGTGTATGTTCACCTTATACTCCTTTGATTGTTGGGAAATACTTAAAAGCGGTGAATGAAGAAAAAAAATATCTTTGAAGTTTTAAAAAATGGAGAGGGTTGGGGTTCGGGGTTGGAGGTGGGGATGAAGTGGAGTTTTGAGAACAAACGAAGATTTTCATCGAAAAATTCCTGTATTGGTCATTTTTAGCTTACCTGACCGAAGGTCAAGTGAGTTTATGTCATGGTGCGGCGTCCGTCGTCCGGTGTCGTCCGTCAACATTTCCTTTAAATAACTTCTTCTGGAGAACGGACAGGCCAAAAGTCATGATATTTGGCTGAAAGCTTCATTGGTAGGAGCCTGGCAAAGTATGAGAATGAAAATGACCTTGACCTTCTTTCAAGGTCACAGCTGTCAAATATGTCAAACGCTTCAAACGACTTCTTCTGAAGAATTAAAGGGTATAAAATCTCCATATGTGGCTGGTTGCTTCCAGGGATAGAGCCTGACAAAATTTGAGAATGAAAATTACCTTGACCTACTTTCAAGGTCACAGGGGTCAAATGTGTCAAACACTTCAAGCGACTTCTTCGGAGGAACTGAAAGGTATAGAATCTTAATATTTGGCTGGTAACCTCTTAAGATTGAGCATGACGAAGTTCGGAATGAAAAAGACCTTGACCTACTTTCAGGGTCACAGCGGTCACATATGTCAAAAACATTAAATGACTTCTTCTGAATAATCGAAAGGCATAGAATCATAATATTTGGCTGGTGGCTTCTCACCAAAGTTTGCAAATGAAAAGAACCTCAACCTACTTTAAAGGTCACAGAGGTCAACAACATTTTAAACGATTTGTTCTGAAGAACAAAAGGGAATGGATTCATAAGATTTGGCTGGTAGCTTCTTGGGATAGAGCTAACAAAGTTTGAGAAGGAAAATGAACTTGACCTACTTACAAGGTCACAGGGAAAAATATTTCAAACACTTCTGAAAAAGAACCAAAAAGCATAGAATCGTATAATAATATTTGACTGGTAGTTTCAACTGATGGAGCCGACAAAGTTTGCGAGGGAAATATTTGTACGGCAATGCAATATTTAATGAGAATATTTTGCTGTGACTGCTTAAATATTAAGGTGAGCGATACAGGCCATGTGGGCCTCTTGTTTTTCCTTCTCTGTGTTTTGTAGGTAAAATAATTCTTGCAAAACACTGAAATCTCTTCAAACTCAAACCTTGTATTTTTTAACACAAAAATGACAAATGTGTGCTATTTACAAGAACATAAAATGACGAAAATGATAAATGTGTGCTATTTAAGCATATGTAAATGAATAGTTAATACATCTTCATTTTCGTATCCTTCAGGAATACATAAACAAATCTTAAATTCTTAGTAAATATTTTACTTCCAACCATCAGAGCATGGACATTGGACGGACTGGACACCATGGTCAGCGTGTTCAGCCACCCGTGGAAGAATGGGCGAACGGACCAGATATAGATTCTGCAGTAACCCTGCTCCCAAATATGGTGGCAGGCCATGTGATGGCAGGTCAGAGAGTACGGACATTCAGATGGAGAGTTGCGCCCATGACTGTCCAGGTAATGTAATGAAACCAGACACAGGGGACTGTATCTACACAGGGGACTGTAGGTCTGTATCTACACATACACAAGGGACTGTAAATACCCAGGGGACTGTATCTAAAGAGGGGTCAGTATTTACACATGGGTCAGTATCTACACAGTGGTCTGTATCTACACAGGGGTCAGTATCTACACATGGGTCAGTATCTACACAGGGTTCTATATCTACACAGGGGTCAGTATCTACACATGGATCTGTATCTACACAGGGGTCTGTATCTATACAGTGGTCTGTATCTACACAGGGGTCAGTATCTACACAGGGGTCAGTATCTACACAGGGGCCTGTATCTACACAGGGGTCTGTATCTATACATGGGCTACACAGGGGTGTGTATCTACACAGGGGCCTGTATCTACACAGGGGTCTGTATCTATACATGGGTCTGTATAGTCCTCATCTAAACAGGGGTCTGTATCTACACAGGGACTGTATCTACACATGAGTCCTCATCTAAACAGGGGTCTGTATCTACACAGGGTCTGTATCTACACATGAGTCCTCATCTACACAGGGGTCTGTATCTACACAGGGGTGTGTATCTACACAGGGGACTGTATCTACACAGGGGTCTGTATCTACACAGGAGTCCTCAACTACACAGGGGACTGTATCTACACAGGGGACTGTATCTACACAGGAGACTGTATCTACACAAGGGACTCTATCTACACATGGGTCTGTATCTACACAGGAGTCCTCATCTACACAGTGGTCTGTATCTACACAGGGGTATGTATCTACACATTGGTCTGTATCTACACAGGGGTCTGTATCTACACAGTGGTCTGTATCTACACAGGGGTCTCTATCTACACAGGGGACTGGATCTACACATGAGTCATCATCTACACAGGGGTCTGTATCTACACATGGGTCTGTATCTACACAGGGGTCTCTATCTACACAGGGGACTGTATCTACACAGATGACTGTATCAGCACAGGGGTGTGTTTTACACAGGGGACTGTATCTACACATGAGTCATCATCTACACAGGGGTCTGTATCTACACAGGTGTCTGTATCTACACATGGGTCAGTATCTACACAGTGGTCTGTATCTACACAGGGGTCAGTATCTACACAGGGGTCAGTATCTACACATGGGTCTGTATCTACACAGGGTTCTGTATCTATACAGGGGTCAGTATCTTCACATGGGTCAGTATCTACACAGGGTTCTATATCTACACAGGGGTCAGTATTTACACATGGGTCAGTATCTACACAGTGGTCTGTATCTATACAGGGGTCAGTATCTACACATGGTTCTGTATCTACACAGGGCTCTATATCTACACAGGGGTCAGTATTTACAAATGTGTCAGTATCTACACAGGGGCCAGTATCTACACATGGGTCTGGATCTACACATGAGTCCTCATCTAAACAGGGGTCTGTATCTACACAGGGGTTTGTATCTACACAGGGGTCTGTATCTACACAGGGGTCTGTATCCACACAGGAGTCCTCATCTACACAGGGGACTGTATCTACACAGGGGTCTGTATCTACACATTGGTCTGTATCTACACAGGGGTCTGTATCTACACAGTGGTCTGTATCTACACAGGGGTCTGTATCTACACAGTGGTCTGTATCTACACAGGGGTCTGTATCTACACAGTGGTCTGTATCTACACAGGGGTCTGTATCTACACAGTGGTCTGTATCTACACAGGGGTCTGTATCTACACAGTGGTCTGTATCTACACAGGGGTCTGTATCTACACAGTGGTCTGTATCTACACAGGGGTCTGTATCTACACAGTGGTCTGTATCTACACAGGGGTCTGTATCTACACAGGGGTCTGTATCTACACAGGGGTCTGTATCTACACAGTGGTCTGTATCTACACAGGGGTCTGTATCTACACAGGGGTCTGTATCCACACAGGAGTCCTCATCTACACAGGGGTCTATATCTACACAGGGGACTGTATCTACATAGGGGTCTGTATCTACACAGGAGTCCTCATCTACACAGGGGACTGTATCTACACAGGGGTCTGTATCTACACATTGGCCTGTATCTACACAGGGGTCTGTATCTATACATTGGTCTGTATCTACACAGGGGTCTGTATCTACACATGGGTCTGTATCTACACAGGAGTCCACATCTACACAGTGGTCTGTATCTACACAGGGGTATGTATCTATACATTGGTCTGTATCTACACAGGGGTCTGTATCTACACAGTGGTCTGTATCTACACAGGGGTCTGTATCTACACAGTGGTCTGTATCTACACAGGGGTCTGTATCTACACAGGGGTCTGTATCTACACAGGGGTCTGTATCTACACAGTGGTCTGTATCTACACAGGGGTCTGTATCTACACAGTGGTCTGTATCTACACAGGGGTCTGTATCTACACAGTGGTCTGTATCTACACAGGGGTCTGTATCTACACAGTGGTCTGTATCTACACAGGGGTCTGTATCTACACAGTGGTCTGTATCTACACAGGGGTCTGTATCTACACAGTGGTCTGTATCTACACAGGGGTCTGTATCTACACAGTGGTCTGTATCTACACAGGGGTCTGTATCTACACAGTGGTCTGTATCTACACAGGGGTCTGTATCTACACAGTGGTCTGTATCTACACAGGGGTCTGTATCTACACAGTGGTCTGTATCTACACAGGGGTCTGTATCTACACAGTGGTCTGTATCTACACAGGGGTCTGTATCTACACAGTGGTCTGTATCTACACAGGGGTCTGTATCTACACAGGGGTCTGTATCTACACAGTGGTCTGTATCTACACAGTGGTCTGTATCTACACAGGGGTCTGTATCTATACAGGAGTCCTCATCAACACAGGGGTCTGTATCTACACAGGGGTCTGTATCTACACAGTGGTCTGTATCTACACAGTGGTCTGTATCTACACAGGGGTCTGTATCTATACAGGAGTCCTCATCAACACAGGGGTCTGTATCTACACAGGGGTCTGTATCTACACAGTGGTCTGTATCTACACAAGGGTCTGTATCTACATAGGGGTCTCTATCTACACAGGGGACTGTATCGAAAGTTACATTCATATTTGCATAACACATGTGACCTCATCACCAAGTGAATATGTGATTATATAGACCTGACAGAAAATGATATTGACCAAGATAATGTGTGCCATCTAATCTTTTATATTGTATGTATATTTCAAGTGTCCGGATCAGAGCTACAGATGACAGAATTCTCCTCGTGGGCCAATATGACATTTGAGGAGGGTGTTCCGGGCTGGCTGAGGGTGCGGACTAAGCTAGTATGCAAGGCCCCAGGGGGCGAACTGGAGGGCCTAGAGGAGGAAGAGGTGGCTCGGGCCTGTTATCTACTCAAGGTCTCAGTGGAACACTGTCACACAGAGGGATGTGTTCCCCTTAAGGGTCTTCGCAAACTCATAGAAAACAATTCGGCATCGGACATGTACAGACCTGAAATTGAAAGGCCTTTTGTGAAACCAGACAACTGATAAATGTGTCACCGGAAATGATGTGTTGTCACACCGAAACATTGGATGTGCTTGATATGGATAATGAAATCTAGCCAACAGACACCGGGAATTAAGTGATGGTTCCCAACCTAGTCTGCATTCTTAAACCTACAGTTTTTACCCAATTTATATATTGGCTTGCGCAAAAAACGCTGAGAAACAAGTTTCCGGAACAAAAGTCAAATGATTTGGTTTGGTGGTCACATGGTTCAACGGGGGGATGCGTATCTTTATTACCACCGGCTCGTGAGAAAGGCAGCCGAAAACATGCACAAGTGTATTGCTTTGACAGCTCTCGGATTAACTATGTTTAACGGAAGGCATGCACATGCTTAGCATGTGAGGTACGTATCTTAAAGCCAATCGAATCCGGAGAGAACACGACAGTATTGAGGACTAGTTACACATACAGTATAGCACATAGTGGTGGGAGTGCACCAATTCATCAACGCACTATTCTGTGAAAATTTGATAATGTGTTTAAACTTGAACATGACTGGATCTGAAACAACTGATGCTGTTGTGTCGTCGGAATATTCTTTAAATCTGAGACGTTTTGTTCTGAACAAATGGCATGCTCACCAAAAAGGGCAAAGTTTCATGTTACCAGAAGTTTACGTTGTTTGCTATGGACAAGAAGGTATGTAGGATGTGTTATAATTAGATTCTTGTCAATGTTCAGTACCATGAATATATTTCTGCTATAATATACATTGAAATGAAGTTGTTAATTAAAAGAATGGCTGCCACATCATCAACATGATAAGACTTATTCAAATGGCAATGCTTTTTTATCAGAAATACAAAAATGTTTTGTATTTATACATGTGGCAGATTTGAATCGTATAGTATAGGATTGCGGTCGCCTCCTAGCTCCGAGCTAGAGGGAATTTCCCTTTAGCTCAGTGGTAGAGCGTCCAACTTGGAACCTAGGGATTGTGGGTTTGATTCCCGGTGGAAGCACACTATTCTCTTTCCCGTAACATACATTTATATTTATACATTATGTACAGTGATTTTAAGTATAACGTATTACGTCAGCAAGTGTCATGTGATTTCATCGAGGTACATATGATGTCATCAAGTGATATATGACGTCACACATGTCTTTAAGTAATTTGTTATCTGTGTATAAATGTTGTTCATTGTGATTTACCTGTACTTTTGTCCGTTCCATTAACATTGAGATCCTGGTCATCCTCGAAACTCCAGGGGTTATGAGAGAGCGAAAGTGAGCGTAACCGGCCTGGAGTGTCGAGGATGGGTGCTGGCCATGGTTAGACTTTCACAGATTGGCCACAATGGCGCATATGAGTAATAATCCTTCATTTGGGTAACAGTTACCGTTTTGAGTAACAATTCTATTACTAAAATCGGAAATAAAGAGAAATGAAAACACAAAAAGTTTTTTTTAACATTATGAACAAAGAAAAGACGTAATTTTTTCAACATAATCCAATGGATAAGTCAATGAGGTACAATTGTGCACAATATTATGTTAATTCAGTTCGCTGAAATTTTGGGAAAATGACAAATTGTGTCATCTCCATTGCTTATAGTGTGTTGAAGAGAAGCTATAAATAGCACACAGGAAAAAAAGCATGCTCACCTGCTGTCACACTTGCAATGGATGGTCCCATTGACTACACGCTAAAGTAAATGGAGAACACAGTTAGTGATATAGTTGGTCATTTTCACAAATAGTTAGACGTCAGACTTGATAACTGTTTTTGTACAATTGTATTTCATTGAGCTATTTATTGGATGTTGTTGAAAGAATAACGCCCTTTTTGGCTCCAAGTTTTTAAAAGAACTTTGTGTGTTTTTATTTCACTTTCTTATTCCCAATTTCCGTTATAAAAGTGTTACTCAAATGAAGGTTTATTACCCACATGCGCCATTGTGTCCAACCTGTTTCAGTGTCTGACTTCTCTCCTCTTTATGATATGGTTTTAAAATGCCATACAGTGTACTTTCCAAGTTGCCAGTTTTCCCTGTTTAGGAGAATCGAGACTCCCGATTTTGGACCCTAAATTCACTGGTTAAAAATGCTCAATTTTGCTACACTATTCCTATTTTCTAAGGCCTGGTGATTTCACCTGAACGAACAGCTCAAAAGATGCCATTTAAAAGTGTTATTTTCCCCTAGGGCGTACATGTACATTACACACACTATATTTATGCTTTTCATTCTGATCACGCGTAATCTAAATTTAAAAAAAGGTGACAAGTATGTAATGCTACAGGAGACATTGATTCGTTTATGTTATATATCACAGGAGCCTGAAGTTCTGTCAATAATGAATAATAACAGTGATGCAAAAAAAAACCACACTATTTTTTAAGCATAATATAGGTATTTTTTTGTATTACTGTTATTATTCATTATTGACATAACTTCAGGCTCCCGTGGTTATATACATATACATATACATATAATATGTATGTTAGGACGTATGTATGTATGTATTTATTAATTAAGCTCATCGTTACTCCATCAGTTCTTTGTGGACTTGACGATACTCAAACTACTAGCCAGTTAAATATACTTTAAAACCTTTAGTGACATTATACACGTTTGTAACACGATTACAATGTGACGACACTTCTCATTGGTCGATAATCATGTACCATTGGACGATTACACAAGCGCGTGCACGTGAAACGCTCTTCCAACAACCTCCTACGTATTGCTAATGACAAAAATAGCAGGAGAACTGTGTACCCGGTTTTTCTTTGTCAGGGTGAAGATGCATGCATATATATTTTTTTTGTACATATTTGAAGATTTTATAACATATATGCCTGTGATTTAACCTCTAGATCTTTATTAAAAACCTGTCAAGCTCACAATCAGATTAATATTCTGCGGAACCTACATGTGCATTGTATATGTGGTACTTAAAATAGTGTTTGTAATTAACCTGTCAAGTGTTGATGGACGATGTTGATTGAAATAAACACAATTGTATAAAACATGACATCATCGTCATTGCTTATCGTCTGGTGGATTGAGAAACTGATGCTTTTTATTGTTTGAAATAAACATAATTGTGCAGTGAATATTTAGCATGACGTCATTGTTATTGTTATTGTTATTGTTTATCGTGTGGTGGATTAAGGAACTGATGTTTTTTATTGAATGAAATCAACCTAATGTTTAGGCATGACAACAGGTTAAAGAAACCGAATTCATATATTTGACAACTTTAAACGAAGTTTGTGGGGGTTTTCGGAATCAAAATGGGAGATAGGGCATTCATCGAGGCGAACTTTTGCGATGTGTTCAAAACTTGCTCGGGGTTGAGGGTCACTTTCAGGCAAAGGTATTTTATTTGTGAGGCATATATAATCCTTCCCAAATATATCAATATCAAACAAGAAAAATAGGATGGCTGCATAAAAGAGTCAGAAATGATGAAATTGCAAAGCATTTGTTGTAAAATAAAAAAAACCAAGAGGCCCAATGGGCCTGCATTGCTCACCTGGTATAAATCTCACACTTGTAACCTTAAAAGTGATCCAAAATAAAGCTTCAGGCAAAATATCAGTATTTAAAATTAAAATTCATTCAAAAGAACCTGTTAAAAGTTTTTCAAACATTTCACCCCTGTGATTGAAAGTCGAGTCGAACAAGGTCATTATGTTGAACAAATTTTATGTCCATTCGTCTCAGGATGCAACTTGCAAAATATCAACATTCTGGGACCCATGGTTATTCAGAAGAGGTCGTTAAAAGATTTTAAACAAATTTGACCCCTGTGATCTTGAATATAAGTCAAAGTCATTCACTTTCACAAACATGGTAGTCCTTGATCCCAGCATGCTACTGACTAGATATCAACATTCTGGGCCTTTTGGTTATTCAGAACAAAATGTTGAAAGATTTTTAACATATTTGCTCCTTGTGACCTTGAATATGATTCAAGTTCATACATTTAAACAAACTTGGTAGCCCACCATCCTAGTATGCTACTGACTAAATATCAACATCCTGGGCCTCTTGGTTATTCAGAAGAAGTTGTTTAAAGGACTTTTTTAACAATTGACCCCTGTGACCTCGAATATGGTTGAAGGTCATTCATTTGAACAAACTTGGTAGCCTTTTGACCCAGCATGCTACTGGCCAAATATCATCTCCCTGGGCAATTTGGTTATTCAAATGAAGTTGTTTAAAGTTTTTAACATATTTGACCCCTGTGACCTTGAATATGGGTGAAGGTCATTCATTTGAACAAACTTGATTTTTTGAAACCCTTTATCTCAACATGCTACTGGCCAAATATCATCACCCTGGGCATTTTGGTTATTCAGGAGAAGTTGTTTAAAGTTTCTAACATATTTGACCCATGTGACCTTGAATATGGGTGAAGGTAATTCATATGAACAAACTTTGCAGCCCAATTCATCCCAGCATACTACTGGCCAAATATCATCACCCTGGGTATTTTGGTTATTCATGAGAAGTTTTTAACATATTTGACCCCTGTGACCTTGAAAATGGGTGAAGGTCATTTATTTTAACAAACTTTGTAGCCCTTCATCCCAGTTTGCTTCTGGCTAAATATCATCACCCTGGGCATTTTGGTTATTAAGAAGAAGTTGTTTTAAGCAAAATATTGACAACGGACGCCGGACAACGGATGCCGCGCCACGACATAAGCTCAAGTGAGCTAAAAATACATCGTGTGACTTGAAATTTTAATGCACAAAGGAACAGCCTAATCTACATAATTAAATTATTTAGGTCATTTGCATAATATAGGTGTTTGGACAATGAAGTAGTCATGATCACTAACACTTCATTACATTCTTATGTGCATTATATAATTTGAAATTTTAGAAAATCTTGAAACAATAATCACATCTTGAAACAATAATCACGTTTATCAGTTATTTTTCAAATGTTTTCTCACTCACGTTAATTACAGATCACCATGCATTCATAAAGTGAATTATTCAGGTCTCTTTAATCGAGACTTCAGGAAAGGAGTGATATATGCAGGTCATGATTAGTGTTCGTCCTTCTTTGTCGTATGGTCGATATATCATGGAAATGGCCGAGTGTGGTCCGATTGAAATATTGTAAGATAAAAATATTTTTAAAATGCAAGTAATTCAATAAAACCACAAACTGACAGTTGAAATGCGTCATGTTCACTCAAAGCAATATATTTGATCTGATTTTTTTTAACTTACGGAAATTACGCTCTAATGGTTGACATTTACTTGGGTAATTTGTGGAGATCCTATACTGACAGTATACGTACATTGTGGTACCGGGCTTCGATTATGTGTAAACATGTTGACATTTTATGATGTTAGTTTTTTATGGATCATCGGTTGAAAAAACACATAAATTGCTGTGCTGCCGCCCCGTGTTAGTCACTTCAACCCGTGAGGAAATATGTATACACATACTTTCCAAATACATTTCACAGTGCACTTGTATCAATGCAAATTTAACACAAAGTTGAAATAAATTGTGTTTAAAAGGACAATTTAGTCTCAAAAGTCTGCATGATGGGATAGTTTGATACTCCTTATGAACCATTCATGTCGAGAAATTGACAAGAGACAATGTTATCTTGGGGTTTTTAATCAGTAACGAAGAAAACCTTAAACTAACCGTACAGCCGTACGTTTTAGCGGCAGCTGTCGGTGAATTTCTAGCAAACTTTCTCACAATTCTCACCTTATTCACCAAGCCTCTTTAGAATACAAGTACAGGCATTCCTTCTGAATCAAAAGCATCTTCCAAGCAACATCTCAATTATCGTTATAAATGCATGAGCAATCTGTTTTAAGTTTATACCTAGGTAGAGTGAAATATGTTCACCAAAGGGTGATAAAAGTCCCTCTGTGGAGCACATCTGGAGCAGTGTAACTTAAAATATAAACTTTTTCCAGTGTATGACATATACATATAGCTGTCAAACCTTCCTCATTAGGATGGAGACTCCCTCATTTGACATTAGGATGGAGACTCCCTCATTTGACATTAGGATGGAGACTCCCTCATTTGACATTAGGATGGAGACTCCCTCATTTGACATTAGGATGGAGACTCCCTCATTTGACATTAGGATGGAGACTCCCTCATTTGACATTAGGATGGAGACTCCCTCATTTGACATTAGGATGGAGACTCCCTCATTTGACATTAGGATGGAGACTCCCTCATTTGACATTAGGATGGAGACTCCCTCATTTGACATTAGGATGGAGACTCCCTCATTTGACATTAGGATGGAGACTCCCTCATTTGACATTAGGATGGAGACTCCCTCATTTGACATTAGGATGGAGACTCCCTCATTTGACATTAGGATGGAGACTCCCTCATTTGACATTAGGATGGAGACTCCCTCATTTGACATTAGGATGGAAACTCCCTCATTTGACATTAGGATGGAGACTCCCTCATTTAGACCAAACATTTGCCGATCTATCTCGAAACTCCCTAATTCAAGTGCAAACTCGCACAAACTCAAGATCAACATTAACTGGTCAAATGATCTAGTTACTGCAGGGTGTGTGTTCAATGACCATAACAGGTGCATCTGAATCAAATAAGTGTTCTTTGTCCTTTAAATGACCATGGCTGTGAATAGGATGTAAAACACAAACAAGAGGCCCAATGGGCCTGCATCGCTCACCTGGTATAAATCTCACACTTGTAACCTTAAAAGTGATCTAAAATAAAGCTACAGGCAAAATATCAGTATTTATGATTAAAATTCATTCAAAAGACCCTGTTAATTTTTTTTAAAACATTTCACCCCTGTGATTGAAAGTCGAACAAATTTTATAGCCTTTCATCTCAGGATGCAATTTGCAAAGTATCAACATCCTGGGACCCATGGTTATTCAGAAGAGGTCGTTTAAAGATTTTAAACAAATTTGACCCCTGTGACCTTGAATATAAGTCAAAGTCATTCACTTTAACAAACATAGTAGTCCTTGATCCCAGCATGCTACTGACTAAATATCAACATCCTGAGCCTTTTGGTTATTCAGAACAAATTGTTTAAATATTTTGAACATATTTGCTCCTTGTGACCTTGAATATGATTCAAGGTCATACATTTAAACAAACTTGGTAGCCCTTGATCCTAGTATGCTACTGACTAAATATCATCACCCTGGGCATTTTGGTTATTGAGAAGAAGTTGTTTAAAGTTTTTAACATATTTGACCCCTGTGACCTTGCATATGGGTGAAGGTCATTAATTTTAACAAACTTTGTAGCCCTTCATCCCAGTTTGCTTCCGGCCAAATATCGACACCCTAGGCCTTTCTGTTATTAAGAAGAAGTCGTTTAAAGTAAAATATTGACACCGGACGACGGACAGACGGACCACGGACGCCGCGCCACGGCATTAGCTCACTTGGCACTTCGTGCCAGGTGAGCTAAAAAAACCACCACAAGTAGTCTTGTATAGGCATTAAATATAGAGGTATTGGGAATGGACGATTTCCATAACTTTATTCTTTATGTAATCAATAGAATGTAGGAAGATAACACATAATATATATGAACATACGAACTTGAAGAATCTTGCAGAGGGAAAACCTGCTTTGAGAGTATTTCTGTTTAATTTCCCTCAAACTCGTTTATTCGACGAATTTCTCATCAGTGCTCAGAAACTGGACATGCAATGCTACTAGTCTGTGTAACCCTATTCAGTCGTCTGATTGGTTTCAATTACACTCACTGTCTGAAAATTCTGTCAATTTTGATTTGGCTGGATACCATCCACATAATGTTATCTTCAGCATAATCTGATTACTCAAAACTAAGAAAAATATTAGTTCGCAATCTGATGCTGTATGTTCCCTTTATGGTGGCCGACTGCTACAGTTATCACAGCCTATAGGATCTCCTTTAGCACGATTATATGCTAATTAGTATTGGAAGGACAGGTGAAAATCGTACACTTCACCTGCAGAACCGTGTATTGTAATGTATACGTCAATATCTTGGTATTCATGGGCTAGCCGATTTTGATGGGGTTTTCGACATTTTTGTTTTTGGATCATATAGAATAATAATATATTGATTCCTTTTTTCGTTCAAGGTATACTTTAAATCGAAATTTAGAACTTTGTCCTGGAGCGTTGCTCTTATATACAGGTTTATCTGCTACATCACTGTAATTAAAACTACTCAACTCCTTTTAACTATGCACTGGATTGATATTTTGGCAGAAGACAATAGCACTATCTTGCTAAACAACAAACAAAAATGTATATATATATATATATCGGCCTATATTCCCCATTGACTGTCTAGTGTTACCTGTCGCTCTGTGAACAACTAATTGTACACCTCGCGTGTCTGTCTCCTCGTGTGTCACCTATTCCAACAGATAGATAACAGATGAATATCTTATGACAGGAGATTTTGAGCAGATAATGAATTAGAACACCGCAATGAATGCTAAAGCTATTTAAATCACATGAACATTGACGTCTTGTCACAAAAAAAATCCATAAACATCTTTTGAAATGCTTGAATCTTTGATTCTGGATATATATATGTCACAAACCTTGACTTCTCCCATGGAGCAAATAAATCACAGCAGATTATATGCCCGAGTCTATTCAACTAATCTTCTGTCATCTCTGTTTTGAAAATCCATTTTGTATCGCCCTTTCGACATAATGAAAGGGTAGAAAATTTGAATAAAAGAATGAGATAAAAATCTTGCAACACAGTACACATATACCTTGGCTTTCTATTAACTGAAATTCATGTGGGTTTTTTTACCGGAAACAAACGCTATTTGGCAACAAGAACGAATTCACTTTTAATACACTTGTATTTATGCAGAGACTGAAATTTCATCCAAAGGATAGAAAATATTAGAAGTTTGTTTGTCCGAAATTGATGCAGAATCAAGACGGAGACTTAAGATTCTGAAATACATAATGTATTCTTTCAGAAATATATCAATCTTATCTTTAAAGGTGGATGTTAAGCAGAAGGGTGTATTTTATTTTTTATTTTGCTGAAATGGAGCACTCAGCTGTGCCCATTTCAATATTTGGGATCTTTATCTTTCTTTCTACTTCTAACTACCTTTTATTTCCTAGTGCCTTGCTTGGCAACACCTCACTTTTGGCTTGAATATTGAGCGTTTGCCATGGTGAGGAAGGCAATGGGTTCTGTCCCCTGGCCGGGACACACCAAAGTCCTTAAAAGTGGTAGTTGTTATTCCCTGCTTAACGTTCAGCAGTAAGGGGAATGGTAACAACTGTGCTGTGCTTGGTGCCTTCGGCATGGTATTTCAGTGAGATAGCACTATAAAGTCGGCATCAGATCTGCCCTATCACAAGGAGGCAAGCACACCAACATACCCTGTCTCCTGCATACACACATGCAAGCAAGCATACACTACACACATGGAGGCACGTCCTTAAATGACCTTAGCTGTTAATAGGACGTTAAACAAAATTAAACGAAACCAAACTAAACCAAGTCAGGATGGGATGACAGGGGTCAGGACCACAGGGACCTGATAATTTATTAGTTATATTTGGACCTAACCTAAGATGTTAAGCGTAATTTTACATGTTTTAGGGGTAGATCAACTTTCGGTAAAAATGACACTCATATATATATCTTCACTGGAGGTTGTCATTTTTTTTTCAAGTGGGACAAACTAGGATCCTTAATAAGTTTAAAATATGAAATACGAAATGAACACTCAAAGACAGATATATATATGTAATAGTAATGGATTTATATGAATTCATGTCAGCATGTACACAATATGTATATATAAATAACAGTATAAAACTAAGGCATTATAAAAATTTCGTGAAATAAAATTGTGTGAAATTAATCACTAATAATCTATAGAACTCTCTTTTAAGTGTCCATCATATATCAGCCTTGAAAAAATATCAAATTCTGTTTCTTTCCCTTCAAAACCAGTGTTGGTGATCTTGAGCGGCCATTCATGTCTCCTCTACTGCCACACCTGTAAATATAAAGATTCCAGGTAAAATCACTTACATTTGTCAGTCAGTAGTCTTATGGTAATTTTACCACATTTAGCCTAATGATTGCACCCAATTTTATAACTCCATCCTCCCTTAATATATAATCCCCCTCAGGAAGATACTTCTTATTAACCTTCAACATATATCTTCAAAATCCAAAGGTCCCCCCCCCACCTCCTCCTCCGGTATCATTCTGCACCCTTGGAACATGTTATGATGTAGTCGCAGGCACAATGACACAGTAAGCTAATATTTGATTGGTTTCACAAATATAACACCAACCAATGGCTTAGGACTTGATACTTATCCTTTGAAGATGTAACCCTCAAAATTTATCTTCAAAATCCAAAGGTCCCCCCCTCCGGTATCATTCTGCACCCTTGGAACTTCAACATATGTTATGAGTAGTCGCAGGCACACAGTAAGCTTATATCTGATTGGTTTTACAAATAAAACACCAACCAATGGCTTCAGGGCGATGCCTATTCTTTGAAGATTACACAGAAGAACTACACCAATATTAAAATACACTGTTATTCTGCAGTTCAATTCCTTTAATATTGGATCAAAGAGTCAGTTTGTATCATTTGCAGGGTGGAGCCTACATAGCTAGCCTAAGGCCAAAACAAAAATACATATGTTTCAGGTATCCTGACCTACCTTACAATCACCTAGTTGTATATTAATTTATTAGCCAGGCTAAGCTTGACCAATCATAAAAAATGTACTTCCTTCCTGTACTGGGAGTCTGACCCAATTCTTGACAAATTATTATATATTAATTGCCATTGTAATGTGCGGAAATGCATTAAAAAATAAAGCATAATATTGATTGATTCATGAAAATTTAGAATGAAAATGGTATTATTTGCCAACCAATCTACCCTATTTTTTTCATACATGTTACCTAAAACACACAAATTATTATTTTTGTCCTAGAGTTTTTTGTCATGACATATATACCAAGCGTGCAAAGAATTTGCATGTGAAGAAAAACGTTTTAATTTTGAAGATGTTAGGATAGGGAAGCTCCTTTATGATTCAGTATACGTACCTTCACAGTACTGTCAACAGCTCCCGAGAAGATCCTACCCCGGGACTGGGCTAAACAGGCCACGCTGCCTTGATGTCGAAGTAACGTCTGAGTACATATCATGTTGTCCATGCTCCAGACCTGAAATAAGTAAAACAAGCATGGCAGTGATCGAAATATGACGTAAATGTTCCTCAAACTATTTCGTCACTGTCCATAATCTTGACAAATCCTGTGAATAAATAATAATGATAATAATTTGAGTCTCTTATAAACTGATTTATCACAACCTAGTTCGTAGGTCATGTCAAAGCGGTTCACAAATTATTATCCTTGGTTATAGGGCCTTTGCAACCAGCCAATATCTTTCTCAACTCCCTGGAGACCATACAGCTGGTGCTGCCATTTCGGCGCTCACAGCAACCCTTCGGTCACGAGCCCGAATTCCTACCACTAGACTACTGTGTCTCCGTGACTTTAAGTCTTCAATGTCTGTGAAGAACTGGTCTTCAAAGAAACTCTAGATCTGCCATTTTGAAATTATAGCCTGAACAAAAAAACAACAATTAAAAGACAGATTTTATATCTGACTATATTGTTTTGAACTTTTTCTCATTCACCCCTACATGTATAAACTGGACTTGCCCAGTCATTGATTTGGTGAGGTTTATATGTGACTTTAGGGGTGAATGGGTTAATGGTGCTACAGGCTTGAGAGCGAGACACCACACGTTTTGTTGCCATTATTTGACCATGAAGGATCCCTGTACCACTGCCAACAAGGTTACCGCAAGCGGTATATAATACGCCCGTCACACATTGAATGAGCAGTTGTTTGTATGATTGAAAAATATTAAGTATTTGTGAGTAATTGATATTAAAAGAGAAATCATTCAACATAACTGGTAGATCAATGAGTGCAATACAACATCATGGAACGCATGCATCGCATTAATGAAACCAAGGGTAATGACTCCAGTAATTACGGTCGGATAATGGCGGTTATCGAACTTGTCCGAGCTTTCATGGTAATTAACCTTGTTGTGAAGTTTGAAGTTAATCCGTTACTAATTACTGGAGATATCGAGCGGATACTGTTTCGGCAAGTCCATAAAGGGGCATAACTCCATAAATTATGGTCGGATAATGGCGGTTATCTAACCTGTCCGAGGTTTCATGGTAACTAACCTTGTTGTGAAGTTTGAAGTTAATAATCCACCCGACCGCCCGCTCACGTAATAACATAATACGTCGACGGGCGTATAAAAACTGTGGATATACATTCCAATCCGAAACATGTGTTTTCAAGCATGACTATATAGCTCTGATAAATTGTTTCTGAAAAGAAAACCACACACCTTTGTGTAACTTTTAACTCATTTACGCCCGAAGACACATTTTAACTCTTCCAGTTCAAAGGTTGGAATAGTTCATTATGAAATGTCAGGGGTGAATGAGTTAGTGACAAAACACAATAAAGATGAAATAAACAAAATAAAAACAACAACAGCTATTGAATGTTTACACAACATCGTCATCATTATCATCAATATATTGTTAGGATAAACTCTGGTATTGCGAGATTTGACTGAAATGAACCCAAGAAAAATATTCAATCAGTTTACTTACTTCGGATTAAAAATGGATTATTGTAAATCGGGAAAATTTCACTCAGTAAAGGTTTCACCCCTTCGCCAGAATAAACCATATTCACCCAGTGTTATTTCCCCTTCACATTTAATTACTTTATTACTATGCATTTTATATAGTTTACTGATGTTTGTTGTAATGATAAATTCGCCTTCATTACAGCGGGGTGGGTGGGGGTGGGGGGGGTGGTATGACAATTCCCTGGTATACATGAGTAGCAATTACGATTTTAAACCGATTGTCCATTACTAACGTAACAATAATCATCAAACAAAAACATCTGACTTATTTAAGTCCAATTTTCTGACTAAGTTTCAAAAATTAATGTTTAAAATATGAATTGGAAGAATAACACTATTGACTGTTCACACTTGCTGTAATTAATGCTGACAACTTAATATACAAATATTTTGAAACAGAATAGCTGGTTCAAGTTAAAGCTGGTGAACAGCAGGTTACTTTTGCTGGCATCTACAGCTTTAAATTCTGGGCATTTTGGTTATTCAAAAGAAGTTGTTTAAAGTTGTTTTTTTAAGACAATTGACCCCTGTGACCTTGACTATGAGTGAAGGTCATTCATTTAAACAAACTTGGTAGCCCTTCATCCCAGCATGCCAGACTGATCAAATATCATCACCCTGGGCATTTTGGTCATTCAGAAGAAGTTGTTGAAAGTTTTTAACATATTTGACCCGTGTGACCTTGAATATGGGTGAAGGTCATTTATTTGAACAAAATTAAAAAGTGAATTCCAGGACCTTGATTTTTCAATCAGCTTTCAAAGATGGTAGAAACCTGGGATAAAAATGCTGTGTTATAACTATTATGAAACAAGTCTTATATTACATTGTATTGATGCTTGTAGGCTCGGATGAATTGATAAGTGTGCGGGGTCACTCTATAACGTGGGAGAAAACCGGAGTACCCGGAGGAAATTCCATGTGATGAAGGGCGTGTTACAAGCCTCAAATATTTCCATATCTAAGTAGGAGAAATGAGTGGGCTATATACTTTACGACCAAACAGAAAAACTGAAACACAAAGACAATTTTTTTTATCCACAATGAGGCTACATATACAATGACACTATATACACAGAATGGTATACACACCGGTAGCAGTAGTATTATATGTTTTATGACACAGTAAATCACACATTATTTAATAGGTTCGTTTTAAGGATTCCTGACTACCACTGCCAAAAACTGTAACTCATAGTATTGGGAAACTGTTTTTTTCCGTCAGGACTAAAGTTTTAATAACTCATCTCTGATAAGATAACCATACCTTGTGGGATTTTTATGAGAAATGTTAAAGATGAAAATAAACAAAATATAATCAACAACAGTTTTTTTAATGTTAACAAATCAGCCAGGGCTAGACCGGGGAATTTGAACCCCGGACTTTAGATTGATATACTGTTGCTCCAACCAACTGAGCTACGTCGTCAACGAAAGTGCCCTGGCCAAATGTGCTACAATGATATTCAAACGAAAGGTACGGAAAAACCACAATGCAGTGGGCCTTGGATCCTTAACGGTCAGAATGTGTGTATATATGCATAATGCACCTCTTTCAATGGCTAAATGTATGGCTTTTTTTCTGGGTAGACTGTTTACAATAGTGGGGGGGTTCTTTTTTTTTGAGAGAGATAAAATATAACTTCACTATATATATTCATTGTATAAAATATAAAACTGATCGAGTGATGTCTCAAAAAGTTCAACCCACCGACCTACAGCCAGTACCTGGCGGCTGCCGCGCATATAGGCTTCAAACTCGCAGTGGTGCAGCGCCAGTGATCTTCGACGGTCAGACGCCTTAACCACTCCTACACTGCGGCCCAAGTTATGTTTAGAATTTTTTTCTTTTGAAAACTACAAATAATTAAGCAGTCAGTTGCACATACAACAGGCCACCAAACAAAACATATTGCATAATTCCCAATTCTCCAAAAGCAAACAGAACGGTACAAAATTATAGGTATTAGAAAGGTATAAGTACTGCAATAGTTTGACAAAAACATATTTTTGAGGTATGAAATTCTTTTGAACTTTTGTTGTATACCGATTACTAAAATTAGTGACTGCATGTTATTAAAATACTTTTTGTCCCTAATGTTATTGTAATTGTTCATTGACAAATGAAAACATCACCACAGTGAACATCGGTGTAGCCACTCGGGCGCCCTGTTCAAAATGTTAGTAAACAAATATAAACTTTATTTTATCAACTCATTAAGGCTCCTCGTCTCGGTAACGACGCATCGGAATCTGTTATTTGTCAGCCTGACTATGTCTATATACCTTTGATAAATTATTTTGGAATAGAAAAGCAGTTACCTCTTTNACCTCTTTCGGACTTTAAAAAAAAAAAAAAAAAAAAAAAGATAAAATAAAATAAAATATAATCAGTGTACTAAGTGGAAAAATTACGTTGGAATATAGCAGGATTCGAACCATCCACCTTGAGATTGTTATACTTTTGCTCTATCAAACTGTCAGCTACCAGCTGGTCAAAGGAAGTGTCCTGGTCCAATTGAACTACACCCATAGCAAAATTAAGGGGAAGTAACACTGGTTGTAAAAAAAATCCAGAGGGATATATCTCTAGTGTTTTTGTCTCTGGTGGGACAGGGATCCGTCCTTGGTTGCTTTTGGTGACCCAGATAAAGGCATGCAGTCAGGGTCTTTATAGCTGACTGGAAGCCCTTAATGCTCTTAAATCTTGCTCAGTACAAGTATTCTTATATATACCGCTTTATCACAACCTAGTTCGTAGGTCATCTCAAAGCAGTTCACAAGTTATCATCCGTAGTTGTAGGGCCTTTGCAACCAGCTATTATATCTTTCTCAACTCAATCAGGGGAGCATACAGCCGGTGCTACCATTTCGGCGCTCACAGCTAGCATCCAACAATTCTAGCACTGCCCAACCATGTACTCATTTACAGCTGAGTAGACTGGAACAAATGGAGTAAAGTATCTTGTTTAAAGAGACACCTGTTAGTGCCGTGCTGTGACTCGAACTGCAACCCTTCGGTTACGAGCCCGGTGTCCTACCACTAGACGGCCATGCCTCCTTAATGCACTTTGAAAGAGTTAATTGTATGTGTATTTGGTACTCATGTGAATGTAATTCCACTCCAATTACTAAACTACTTGAAACTTCTTTATACTAAGTCACAGGTGCACAGTGATAATATCTTTGTTATGTCCTTTGAATAAATACAAAAAGAAAAAAACAAAAGACCTCACGACGATCTGAGTAAACATGCCCTCGTCTTTAACAAATCTTCAAGGACATTAAACGTAATACACTTGAAGTAGAGCCTGAACGCTCTCCGTTAATGGGACATCTGAAGGAACATTTTTGGGTATATTCTCTAGTACGATCAAGATTTTACACTGTAAATCTGATAACAGTAAACTAATTATATACCTTACATGCAGAATTAGATACAGACATTGTATCTGAGATAGAATCTTAATG